TGTTGTCTTTGATCATAGGTGCCTGCGTTCTATTTCCCGTGTAAAGTGGCATAATAAGGTGAGCAACATGGAGGTTAGGCGTAGAGTTCTAGGTAAACAGGGGAAATCAATCGACGAAGTCGTGAAGCTACAAAGACTGAGATGGTTAGGACATGTGTTACGTATGCCAAGTCATCGCCTCCCTCGACGAGCTATGTTAGCGGATATAGGGTCAGGCTGGAAAAAAGCTAGCGGCGGTCAAACAAAAACTTGGCACCAGTCAATGAAATCCACAACAGTTGGTCTTAGCCACGTAGGAAGGTGTAGACTTCCAGGCTGGGGTCCTCGGGACGGTAAAAATCTATGGTTGGAAACAATTGGTGACATGGCTCAAAATCGTTCTCAATGGCCGGCGCAGATGCATCCACTCCCTGTGACTTATGATCTTCAATGAAACTGTTTTGTATTTCTTTATTACTCCTTTGTCTCACACCTCTGCTCACTGTTTCTATTATGCTTTTCTTGTACTTTCTTCTCTTACTTCGCGTGCTACACGGAATGTGGCGACTTGAACTTCCGCACATTTGTGCAAAGTTCTATGTCGAAAACAGACAGACAGAGACGGTAGTTGTTGTTTATCTTCACCACCTTCGTCTTTTCTATGTTCACTTGGAGTTTTATCTTCGCTGCCTGCCTCTTCTGCCAGTTTAGTTTTCGCCTGCAGGTCTTCGAGTTTGTGCGACATTAGAAATACGTCATCTACGAAATCTAGATCTTCTAGAGTCTTCTTATCGTTGGGTCAACGTATTCCTGTCTCCTCGCTCCCAGGCACACTTTGGTACGTAATCCAGTCCACCAAAACTAAAAATATTATCGGTGATAATAGGCAGCCCTTTCATACTCCTGTATTTACTTCGAACGCCTAGCTCAGTTTTCGGTTGTGGATCACCTGACATGTGGTATTGTCATATAGCCAGCTGTTGAATGAGGTTGAAGAAGAAACCAAAGAATATCTGCAGATTAATTTTTCTAACAGTGTTTTGCAGACATTTTTATTTGCTGAACAACAAACCTCTTGGGAAAGATCTTTATTCGCTTGCAGATTTCCTCGAATGCCTCCTAACTGCTAATATGTCACTTGGTTTCATGATGAATGCTTACGCATTCCGCCATACATCATTATTTATTTACGAGGGCGTACTGCATCAGTATAACTTGCACAGGTCAAACTGGGATGAAATTTTTGAATATGGCACACGAAATTCTGGATAAACCAAAGTCATCTAGGGTGAGTTTTACAAAGTTAAACACTGTACCTGTCTATTACGTGTGAAGATTTAATTAAAAGAAAGAATTATCTTGCTCAAAAAACTATTGAATACCATTCAATGGAAGAGAAATTATCATTGTGCGATATGCAGTTTAAATACTAAGAATTAAAACCCTATGAACACAATATTTTCTAACTTATTTTTGTCTCAAAACCTTCCGATCATAATTATCTGGATATTTCTCGATGATAGTAACGACGCTCAGTTAAACACGAAACTTAGTTGAGAACATTTAGTAATGTAAACGGATGACAGTGTATAATAGACATTAACCCCTGAGTTTCTCTAACAAACTAATATGATACTGAACAGGATTAATTTGGTGAGTGAGTGGTTGAGTATGGTGATAGAAAAGTTTTGCGAAAAAATAGTTTTACATGTCAAACAGCCTTAGACTAGCAACGGATAATAGATAGATGGGATATACAATTCTGGTGTACAGAATAAGTCAATAACAACTTTGTTTAGCACACCTTTACACTATCCAAGTGACTGTTGCTTGTTGAGAAAACTTATAAACAGCGGCTAATAATTGCTACTATTACGTTGGGTAAATGGTTGACCTATTGATACAAAAGTATTAAACTACTTATTAGTAGTAATAAAAATATAGCAAAAATTCCGTTCCTTCTCTTCTGGGAACACGCTTTCTCCTACAGACCCAATTACATGAAACTATAAAATATTTTAACGATACATCGTGAACAACCTTTAACTTAACTAACATTGGTATTTGTGTTGCTACCCTGGAAATGGCATACATTTTGAAATGCTTTATCAAAAATGTTAAATATCAGAAAGTTTGTTCGTTATCACTGACATTTAACGCTTTGTTTCATGCTTCTATAGAAACAATTGCCGTGATGTTTGTTTGCAGAAATATTGTGTTGTAAGTTGGTACGAGAGATTATCAGTTTGCTTTAGGAACTTCACTTTGAGTAATGATGACATACACTTCATTTTGATCTCATTTGCAATCGAAAAACTAAATGTCATTACACATGCACACACATGATTCATTCTCCCCTAACAAACCTTATAAATTCAACTAAAACTGAATGATTTCTGGAAAACGGAATGATGTGACCTTTGCTGACTGATAGTAAGATAGCTAAGTCCACTGTACAGCCTGAATGGTGCTGAACTTTACTAGATCAGTAAGTCATTTTCACCACTATAAACATCCATCTGTATTTACGTGAAAGAAAATCGTCATTAGGACAAGTACTACTTTAAAAGCTAATAATATATATTGTGCAAGTCAATTTCCCAATCACAAGCAAAAGATGTTTCACCTACACATCATGGTTGCCGCTGGAGTCAACCATCATCTGGGGGGTGGGCAACGAATTCCTTTGTAACAATAAACTGGCCCTATTCAGGCAGTTACCTAGGGTTCTAGTGGGAAGCTGTGACCAGTAGGGGTACAGCAGGTTGAAAGTGAGGACAGTTACTCATCGAAGAAGACAACGCGAATCGGTTGCGCTATGTCATGGATTGGCAGAAGTTGGAATTCACGGTCTGGCCATTGGATCAGTTCCCAGTGGCTTAATGGTCCATCAGCTCGCTCGCCTTGTAACCAGCAGGTCCTGGGTTCGAACCCTGGCAGTGGGTGCGTACTGGCAGAGTCCAAAACTGGGACGAAACATCTGGCTGTCCAGCACTCCCAGGTTTTCTAATGGTTCTCTAACTGATATCAGCTAATGATGAAATCTTCCAAGCAATAGATTAGAATTGAATCACATATTGGATCTATCTGATAGTCGCTAACTAAATAAAAGAATCATCTTTTAGATTGAAATACGTCCTAAATCGCCTTTCTTGATGTAGAGCTGAAATGAAAGGTTGATGAAACTTTGAGGGATTCGATTCATCAGCAGCTGTTACTGTATATCTTACTGATGAATTCCAAAGAAGTTTAATTATACTCCTTGCTGCTTGCACCTGAAATAATTTAAAGCTCTGATTTTATGAAAGACATAGGTCTCCTAAAAAAATTCATGGAAAATGTTTATTCCTACCGGAACACAGATAGAGAAAACATCACAATGGAAGTAGGTTTGTCACCATGATTTATTACCATGCATTTTTATACCTCAGAATCAGTTCAGACTGGGAAACATATGCATAAATACGTAGATTTCAGTGCATATTAACAGTTTACTGATACAAAGTTTATCATCAGTGTTATTCATAGGACTTGAGATTTTCTGCGAGAACAAGTGTGAAGAAGCTCAGTTTTTAAAAGATCATGGTCGTCGGTGGCATAGAGGTTAGGACGATCACCGACCATGCATATGGTCTGGCGTACGATCCCGGCCAACGCACTCCTGTATCTCGCTAAGCCAGAAATAATCCTGGTAAAGAGGAAAGGTTGGGCATGAGGTTAGCAACCCAATCCTGTATAATAAACACTGCTACAGAAACTTCAAGCCACTAGCTTGAAGCCGTATGGGGAACGTGAAGGAAGAAAAATGGTCGTCAAATTAATTCGAATTTAAAATACTACGATCTTACATTGTAAAATAATTAGAATGATCCTACAGATGGATCATTTCCGAAATAGATATGATACATCAATAATTCTGCAGAACAGTATTCAAAACGTACGTCATCTCCTTCTTTTGGATTCATTCCAAATGACTGGAGACGCTCACATGCATGAGGCCATACTTCACTGGGAAACACTAACGGATCTCAGTAATCAGTCATTCACAAACAATAGATAAAATGAAACAGATATCTCACTACTGTTGTGGGGAGTGCTACTGATAAGATTTATCAGTAGTAATATAAAGAGACGTTCATTGGCATAAAAACATCAAAAATCAAGGAGATACACTTGATGTCAGAGAAGGCAAATGATGCAGAGTTGTGGAGATACACGGAAGACATGAAAGGAACGCAAAGAAACACAATATGAAGGCCAGAAGTACCACAACACGAAGATCTGTGCAAATGGTGCTGGGTTGAAGATAAGGTTTACATAATTTGGCTATATATAGATACCAATTTCCCAATAAATATTCCTTTATCAATATCTTAAACAACTGGACAACAGCAGAATTAATGATATATGGCTGTGCACTCAGCCGAGGTGAGCGTGTTTTACGTGATAGAGATATTCACCTAATCATTCAAATTTTAGCACATAGAACAGATCATAAACTCTCCAATTAAAACCTGAACAGATGTTTTGTCCTTATTCGGGACTCCTCATCAAAACGCATTTACTACCCAACCAGAGATCGTACTCAGGAGATTCACGTTACAAGGCTAGTTCGTTGACCAATCAGCCACTAGGATAGAGTTCCAATGGCACAACTATTGATGTGCCATCAATATATAACGAGACCAGCCTTATTATTTTGTCATATGAGCACCTTGAACGGATGCTTAAATATTATCATGATTGTTAACTTGAAATCACTTATTTAGTGGTGGCTACAAACGCGTCTTAAGTTTTTCTACTTGCTACCACCGAATATATAACTTTACGATGATTAACACCGCTGAAAAGACGACTTCTGCCTCTCAAAAATTAACTACTAATCAAAAAGACAAAGATTACACAGTGTAAATGTTTTGTAATAAAACTGTAAGTTACTTAGAAAATGTACAATATTTGTTTATTTACAAATTATTCAGAAATTATAAGTAATATATGAATAAAGAAATAAATAAATAGGATTATTGTTTATCTATCAATGTTCCACGAATACGTCTTTGTTGGGCTTCTTCATTAGCCTGAAAAATTATGATAAAAAAAGAGAAAGTAGAAATTAGGGAAGTCAGGTAAGACAGTAATTTTTTGAGCTGATGTGACACTATCCAGTAAATTTAATCTACCATATATTATCTTGTGATTAAAAATTATTGCGTGTAACGGTTAGATGTTGAGAAGTTCTAAGTGACCTGAATTCCATGCATTTTAACACTTAATAGTATGGAGTATCTATAAATTCAAACAAGTCACGTTCCCTTACAGATTCAAGTCCCAATCAGTCAATGATAAGGTCATAGAAATCACTATAAAGCTGGCTAATGAAGTGACATACGCAAATGAATACTTTATTTTTTTTAAACAAAATAATACAAGATAAGGTATGTACTATAGCAACATTCAGTTAATAGAACTGATAAATAAGCGAAGATACAGCAGTCATTTCTGTCCAACTGGTTATATTAGTGGTAGGGTGAAGTGGTTCAAGATTTTATATCTAATCAGAAGAAAGTCATGCAGAATGGAATACTTTTTATCCTTCACGTTCCCCAGTGGAACATACGGCTTCAAGCTAGTGGCTTGAAGTTACGGTAGCAGTGTTTATGTTTGCAGGATGGGGATGCTAGCCCCATGCCCAACCTTTCCTCTTTACCAGGATTATTTCTGGCTTAGCGAGGTAAAAGAGTGGAGGAACGGAATATTAGTACTATCGAATACACAATATTGTAACCTGCAGGCAATCTAAACCTCGATCAATCAATCAAATCAACTCTATGTCACCCAACAACCACTTGCAATTACATGTAGTTCGTAATGAGCCACATCTATTGTATGAGAGCTGGTTATACTACCTGGGACGGCCCAAACCTCAGTGTGTGGAGCGAGGTTCGAATCTATAACCCACTGATTGCAAGTTGAGAGGCTAGACCAATGAGGCACAGCTCCACAACAAACACACACACTTCCTGAGTTGTATTTCAAGGGGAATTCATACTGTTCACATATAGAAACTGGTTTTCTGTGTAAGACAAAACTCACACTGGCTTCTATAATAAGAAACCTAAATAGAGTTTGTTCTGAAAATCAGTAATCACTGAAATGCAAGGTGTACGTACTATAACAAGATTTATCAAACCACTTGGATAACAAAAAGAAAGTGAGACACAGTGGTTCTCAACTCATGATTGAATAAATCATAGTCTAATATCTAGGGAACCTAATAACAACAAAAATACTTCATTTCATCATGAGCTGACATCAATTACGGAACCATCGGAAAATCTGGGAGTACTGGACAGCTGTTTCGTCATCAGTACGCACCCAATGCCAAGGTTCGAACCCAGGACCTTCTGGTTACAAGGCGAGTTCGTAGACCATTAAGCCACTGGGGCCCGATTCAGTGGCCCATGAATTCTAACCCCGGTGGGTGTGTACTGATGAAGAGTCCCAAACTAGGACGAAACGATTGGCCGTCCAGTACTTTCAGGTTTTCCAATGGTTCTCTAACCAATGTCAGCTCGTAATGAAATCCTGTAACCAATCAACCAAATACTTTAGTTTTAAAATATCTTCAATTCCATTCAAACATTTTGAACAGGATCAAAGAGGATAGAATTGAATAACTAATTTTTACCTCATCTACTAATCGTCGTTTTATAATACCACGTCGAATCATCTCTTGTTCTATTACACGAGCATTCGCTGCATAGGAGTCCGCAATTTCCTTCGCTTCAGCTTCCTCTTCTTCATCTTCAATGGTGGAAACAGTAACAGCTGTATCAATTCCTTGAGTTGTTTCTTGTTGTTGAACACTACGACGTAGTGGAGCATTATTTGATGCTTCACTCTTTTGAAGAGCAGCTGCTTCAGCAGCTAATGCTTCAAGTAATCTAGCATTGGCAGAACTTTCATCAATACGTTTCGAAGAGGCTGGTCGTTTTGGACATAACATTGATGCAGACAATGCAGCTTGATCATCTTGGAGTTTTAAAGCGTTTTTAATGATGAATTCAGTCTGTTGAAAATGAAAATACATACCAACAATTGAATACTCAAAAAGACAGGTCGGAATTAACGAATAGTATTGCTAATTTTAATGGTGTAGGGGATAGATTGAAACGAGGTCAATTCGTTTATTCCTATTACCTCTACTCAGGTGATTATGACTCCATTTGTATTTGAAGAGTTCCCTATGTGAGACATTCTCCAATAGAGATCAGACTCACCGGCTCAAGTATTCGGCTTTCAAAAAGTGAGGACAGGTTTCAACTTCCATTTCACCTACTTCAGCCTGGAAAATTGGGTAATATTATCAACCCACACACAATTATTTTGTGGCGCATAGCCTGGTACATAAAAATCTGCTCCAGGCAACTGAATTTTAAAAACTAAGAGACATACCCCATAATTCTTGAAAACTTTCTGAACAGTAAAATGCAATTAATCACTTGCCAATTACACGTTTCACGGTAGAAATCCACCACACTTTGTTTGGGAACTACTAACGAATGATACCAGCTTCTGCGAGAATAATACAGATGATTTAAGTCGTTCATTCGTTCTAAACTTGATTAAATGAGAAGTTTATCTAATGAATTAAACACGATCCCACTTCCACATACCCCATAAATTAACTTTATCAATATAAATACGATGGGAATTACACGCAACATGTTTGACTTTACAATTCATACATTCATCATAACATACACATTTCTACATGCTCATTACTTATCAACCACTTGACAACGTAGGAATATTTATGTAAAGGAACGCTAGCTGGTTTGCCATATAAAAACTCTAATATTGTGAATTTCCATTGCACTATTACTTTGAAAAAGTTATCAGCATTAAATAGAGAAACTCCAGTAAAAAGAGCTTTTTTGATTTTTCGTTCACTGAAAAATAAAAAACTTTAACTAATGATGAAATTTTTAAAACCAATAAATCCGAACTTAGTTTGGACATCTACTTAACAAGTTAATCATCTCTTAATGTCCTCCTGAGTGCGTCGGTGGCACAGAGGTTAGGAAGCTCGCCGACCATGCACATGGTACGGGGTTCGATTCCCGGCTGACGCACTTCCTTACCTCATTAAGCCAGAAATAATCCTGGTAAAGAGGAAAGGTTGGGCATGAGGCTAGCAACCCCATCTTGTAAAAATAAACACCGCTACAGAAATTTCAAGCCACTAGCTTGAAGCCCTATGTTCCGCTGGGAACGTGAAGGAAAACAAAAATTTTTAATGTCCCCCCGCATAATTAAAAGGTTTAAAAGATAAACAAAAGGCAACTGATTTGACCTCTGAGGTTGAAATCGTGTTGTTAACTGTATTAGCGGTTACGATTACTAATGAGCTTGTTAGTGAGTTGTACACATTGTTCAAGGACTAGCTACTCCAAATTCCAGTAAATAGAGCAGGGTTCGAGCTTATGATCCTTTAGTTAAAGGTTGAGTACTTAAGCCAATAAGCTACAGCTCCGAAGTAAACACTATTAGAGCACGACGCATGAATTCAGCACACAACCCTTGCCGTACCAAACATTAGAGTAAAACAAAGTTATAGTGTTCTCTAAGAAAACTAAAGTAATCTCGAATACTGCTAATGATACATCGGTCAGAATTAATTATTAACACAGACCATACTTTGGATGAGACAAAATACGTTTTGGCAAGAGCTATTGAGTTTCTAATAAAAGGCCCAGTTTACAGATGTGATCAACATAGCTAACAAACTTCTACCGTGACTAGGGAGGCTAAGAAAGATAGTTCAAAGTGTGGTTTTTGGAATTTTAGTTTGACGGTTAAGAGATGGTCTCCATATTTGGCTTTTACAATAACTGATGTAGTAGTAGGAGATCAGGAGAAGAGAACAGCCTCTCCAGAGGCATAAGTTTAGACTTTCTCATGATTTAGACCAAAGGAGCATATGTTGTCATTTCGAAGACCTCATATTGTAGATTTAGTCACTAAGAGTGTGTCTAATTCCACCTTGAGTTTGCTATAGAACCAGTCGGAACTAAGACAAAAATGGTGAATTTAATGGCAGAATGCAGAGACTAATTGCATGTTTGTACATTAGACATTACATGACCCTTTTATAGTCAATATGCAGAACATGTTAGTAAATTCAGGAGGTTGCAACAATTAAAGATTTTCAAATGTTGGTTTCCAGGAATTTGATTCCTCTCAAATTAGACCAAGAAATGACCGTTTTAGGGACCATTGATAAGTCAGAAATTTTGATTTCATTTCTATAATTATTCGTTCAATCTAGCTCTGATGTAGCTACAACGAAGTAGACAGTAACTTAATATTTGTAATACATGCCCAAACTACCGTAGGTAAACAACTATATCGGGCAATTTACATTGACTACCTGTCATTCTACACCTAACGTATACACCATTTATACAAAACTTCACAAAAAACAGAGAGAAAATCAAGAGCACTTTTAAATACATAAACATTACTGGCTACTTTTCGAAGTCACGCAGTCCATAGATGTACGATTAGTCCTAAGTAGAAATTCAGCGAACAAACTGAAGTTACAGTCGGCATACTTTGGGAAAAGCAAACATTTTTCTTCATATGGTAAGAGTCCTGGGTAGGTAAGTGCATGGCTAAATATTGTTAGCTTAAGAGTTACCATGAAAAACATGGAACTCATCGAATTCTTAAGGTATAAAACTTTATAAGTACAAAGGCTGTTAGGTTAATCGATGTTATCTCACGTCAATTAGCAAATATTTACCATAGAGGTGAAACAGAGATATTTGGCAAATACCAACGGTATACTGGGGTCGTCAATGCAATAGCGTATAAAGAGTCCAGTCAACATTCAGTACACGCAATAGTTGTCAAATTTCCTGACTGTCAATTAGTTTTGTCTTTGAGAACAAGCAAAACTGCAGCGCAATCAGGCAGTTCTTATGAAGAAATAACGGTTAATGTTAACGCGTTAAATAACTTTACGGTCATTAATCAGTCAGCATTATAACAGCTCATTTAATGAATTCAAAAAATTATCTACACACTACTTAAACTGCTTTAAGAGATTTTTGTATGCTAACCTCTCAACGTCATCCGTATACAATTAAAGTCTAGTGCACCAATATTCTTTTTATTAGAGCTTGATTCCACACCGTATTTTTGGCACAGGTATGGAGTTCTCAGCATGTGATATCGGTAGCCCAAACTTTGCAGGCCGACCATAGATATCAGGTGTGTGTCGGTCGGGGATCGAACCCCGGACCATGTGCATGGTCGGCGACACTCCTAACCACTGTTTCACCGACGCACACCGGACGACTTAAACATAAATTAATGCGTTTCACATCCGATAAAAATTACCGTAGAATTTTGAGCACTATGACGATAAAAGATAGGTAGTCCACAACTTTTGCAATATCTTCGAAATTGCTTCTCTATACCGTTTGGCCAACGTATGTAGACTGGAGTGAGTGGATTGACAGCTGTAGCTGTTGTCTTATGTGCACGTTTAGAGCCATCAATAACTCTAGCATCGTCTCTAGGGCGTCTGGGTAATTTCTCCACTAAACAATCGATTATCAATGACATTTGCCCGCAGATACATGAGTAAACAAACAACGGTTTTTCACTCCCATAATTGTGTCGTGGTTTGGAGTCGGTTACAATATGTGTTGCTCGTTTGCGTACTCGTGGTTTGTGATCTTTGTTCATCACCTGAAGTAAAAAGAAAGAGGCGAAAAATGAAGTAAAGCAAAACGAAACAGGAAAAACAGTAATGGGAGCTGATTGCTAGGCTAACAACCTGAGTGTTGGTAATTTACTAATAGAATTATCAGTCAGTTAAATGTGGATATTCGATATCACACCTAACCTTGCGTTTGCTGGTTTTAAACATAAGAAATACATTCAACTCATGCTCAGGTTTTAGGGTTTCTGTTTCCGCGAATCACTTTTGTATGCGAAATCAATACATTCGGAATTCAGTCTGCACCAAAGAAAGGACCAGACACATCACACTAGTTACTAGCATCAAATCAATACATTCTCATACAACCAGTAAAAACCAACTTCAATTAAAAAATCAGGCCGCTCTTAGTATGCATATCCGTGACTGTACAGTTACCTATTAAGATCAAGAGAAACATTGTAACTGTATTCCAGAGTAAAATTAATGTTCTGTGGTGAAAACTAGTGATAAATTTATTACGAAATGTAAAATATTGATATCAGTACATGTATTGTTCCAAATACCTACAATTACAACTAAAACAAAGACGAAGAACTGACTTGAACGCTAAAAATATTGAAGTTAGAGCTAAAAATCGAAATACTCAACAACGATCCGAAAACACAGTAATTATTCGGTAGGGCATTAACCATATTATCTGACAAAGTGATTTTGAATGGTCGACTAATTGATGAATAGATTTTCTTGTGTACAATGACAATGCAATAAAATTTACGTGGGCCAATTGTTTCCTAGCACGAATCCAAATAAACACCCGCCATTAAGAGAAAAAGTGAGGTTCATTTAGACTACCTTAATTTGAACGTACAGAGAATTTGTGTTATTTTCGTAAATTGCAAACAGCTCTCAAAGTTCATGATTCAGTACGAAAAATAGCTGAAGTGGATAGAGTGAACGGCTGCAACTGGAGAATAACCTCATACTATAACTGAACCAAAGATGACGTATACTGACAAATGCAAAAAGAGCCCTTCGTATCCCTCAAGATTTCGTCAGTCACCGAACATTTACAATTGATACTTCTCCACTAAGTGAAATGGTCAGCATATACAAACATTTCACTCCCTATCCTTAAATTGAGAGTCGATGAAGACCATTCCTTAAACAATTTAGATTTTAAAAAGACATCGCAGTACATACTCATTCTCGGTTTTACTGGCTATTATCAGTACCCACATTTCTTCAACTTTCTTACCTACGCTCTATGAATGCTTTAAGTGGACAATGCTTCCTTGGTAGCGGCAGAATTCCTGTAATATCAGATTCGGTCATTCATATCTATACGTAGATTTATTATGACCACGGTAAATTCAATTCCGAAACCGGGTACGCATGGTGATAGTGAATGCCACTAGTGACAAGTTTTCACAAGCAATTACACATTCGCATGATTTTTTACCGGAGTGTTTTACTTGATGAAATATATCTCGTCACTTCCCCTAAATGCAGAAATTTTCACAGCAACTCCATGAAGGGGTCAAATACCGCCCTCAGTCAAAGAAAGGTGGGGAATTTCAGACTACTAAAGGCATGCCCATGAAGTCGAGAATCTATTGAAAAGTAAAGAGACAATCAACAAAAAGTCTTTCGAGCCTGAAGCATCCTGGCAGAGAATTCATGTAATCTCCAGTAATTTCAAGTCCTCGTAGGTCTGGAATCCTAGATATTCTATGAGTAAAGTTCTCCTGGTTCGCTTCATTTCAGATTAGAGGCGTCTCTGGCAAACATGACTGCAGTTAGAGCAATGATGGACACCTAGGCGACCACAGATGGTGGTTTCGAATTCTACCCCAGCTAGCATTTTTTTCGGGCTCATTGCAGACTTTTTCAGGCAAAAAACTTCGGGTAAATGTACTTACGTGGGACACTGTCCCAAAGTCTGTCCCCAAAAGTCTGCAATTCGCCCTAAATCTGCCAAAATGTCTGCAATGCGCCCTAAGTATGCCCCAAAAAGTCTGCGATGCGCCCGAAAAAAATGCTAGCTGGGACCCGGTGGAACTCCCCAAAACGATCGTCTCCGTATTCATAGCATCCAAAACACGACCCTCAAACTGGATACAAAAACAATTATTCAATTGCAAACATGCGAAATGATAAGCAATAGGATGACTTTATACATGGAACTTACCGTAACAAGTAGAGCAGCAGGCTGTGCAGAGGACGCTTATATCAAATTTAAAAGTGCGATGGTGTAGTCTTACAAACGTTATTGACTTCACTAAGGTTTCAACACTGCAGATTTTGTGTCTATTAGTCTGAATAGTTAACTCCCGAAGAAAGAAAGTAAAACATTGACTAGCGTTTCTGTTCCAGTAGAAAACCAGGAGTAACGCAAAATGTGAGTCACGCGCTAAATCACGGGGGATTCAATATCCAATGTCAGCTCTCCAAGCTGGTGTTCATATTGAGTTCACCATTTTTTTTGTGCTCGCTCATTGGCTGCTAGGTGAATTTTCCTGGCCTTTAGTAAACTTTCGAAGCTTTGGAGTGGTGTTAGAATTAATAATGTGTGGTTTACACTATGCAGTGTTTTAAGATCATGCTGCTACGATAAATGGAGTTGATCTACTCGCCCCTTAGTCATCCGGTGTGATTGAAAATAGAGATTAGAATATGAATAATAATATTAGATGTGATTTGTAAGAATTGTGTAGACTTGAAAAGAAAATGCAGAGACAGCTAATGTGGGTCGGTGGCACAGTGGTTAGGACTCTCGCCGACTATGCACAAGGTCCGGGTTTAGAGCCCACGCCGATGCACACCTGATATCTATGGTCGGCCTGCAAAAATTGGGCTGCTGATATCCAAGCTGAAAATTCCATACGTGTACCAAAAATACGGTGTGAAACCAAGCTGTAATGAAAACAAAGAAAGATTATATGTATAATAGGAGTGTTGCGTGCGTTATTTGACTAAACTGCCGTACACGTATATTCTAGTATTTCTTCGCTCTTATTATTGTGCGCACACGTTGCGGCAACTCGACGCCCACAACGTAAATCAAAAGGCACTTGCGAAGAGTACGATCGTGTATTATAGCAGTAGTCAAATTCGAAATTTGTTTCAAGGTAATGTTCAACAGTAAGTTGACAAATGTTTGCGAAGTACACATAAAATCAGTCTGTATACACATATAATACAAGTACACAAATTAGAATAAAAAGCATGTTTACAGTTGCTATAGGGGTACTACAGGAGTAGTCAGAATAATAGAACAATGGAGAATGTGAGTTAGTAAAAAGACGAGTTTTGGTGTCTACCCACTAACAGTGTGTGAGTATTGAGTTGATACACCGTCTAAACGCAGTCATTGTATCGCTTCATGATTGTCTGATCTTAGCTTCCAATATCCAATATCGTTTTTACGAGCTAGTGTAAACCAATTTGATTTCTCTGTGCCCGCTTCTTGATTGTAAGGTATAGGTTCCTGATCTTCGGTAAACTTCTGCGTAGCTTGTACCGCCACTCGACTGTCGTAGCTTTGGTTGACTCCAAACGGAGTAGTGCTGGGAGCTTAGAGCTATCCACGAACGGAACAGTAGCTATATCAGCCGGTTGAGAGTACCAGGGGCGAAAATCCCTCAGTGAAAAGAAATAGGAAGCTCTGCTCTCTGTTGAGCTATCCTTCGTGGACTGCCTCAAGGAAGCCCATATTTAGTGAATGGCAGAAGACCTTTGTATGAGTGATTCTAGTCATTTTTAATCCTATCGACAGAAATTATTAATTCCCTCCTAAGTTGGCAGGAGCTGAGTGTGGAAATAACTAATCTGTTTAGTCGTTCATTATATGGTTTATTTCAGAAGTTCATCACCAGTTTTTTCACCCGTCATTGAACTGTTTCCAAAAGATTAGAGCCTCTTCGAAGCAGTGGAGGGAGTAACGATATTGTGCAGTTCAATAATTGGTCTTATATACGTTTCGTACAGCCCGAGAAAGAGCTCAAGAGTGAGTGTACTAAACTGATTATGCGCACAGTGTTCAACCATATATGACTTCGCTACAACGAATTTGTAATCCTCTCTTGTCTTTTTTTCCGTTATATCTAGAACTAAACCAATCTCAGGCGTGGTGAAGGACAAGTATTCCCTTTTGCAGGGAGTATTTTACATTCCGCAGCCTACAGACACGTAATAACAAGTATGAAATAATGGCGAACATCACTCCGAAAATCCATGCCACCTAGTCAAGTAGGAAGAACACAAATAATTAAGGGTCAGGTAACCGATTGTCTGGTGAATCCGCTAACCTGAATTAGAAAATTTGTGTAAAAATGTTGGGACCAGCTTCCTTGACAGGCTGATACAGAGAGAACATGCTGCTGAGGGATCATGGCACCAACCCCTATAGCTCCATATAAAGGCGTGAGAATATTTTTGATAGTTGTCATAGCTCTTCCGTGGAATAATCATGCATGAACAGTCAGAATATATCTACGATTATTCCGAGTTCAGTCTCCGTCATAATATTAATTTTCAACGGAAAAGTTCAAGTTATCTGCAATGGATTAAATGCTTGAGAAAAAGCTGACTATCCTCTTTTGAGAAAAGTTTGTTCAAATTCATTTTTTGTTGTGAATAGTTTGTCAAGCGGTAGATTTTAGGACGAATTTTAACAGGTTTACCATGAATAGCGAATTTTGTATTCCTATAACAAGACTCCAGAGCATTTAAAAAAGTCAAACCAAGTTCAGAAATGAGTCGTTTGCTTAATTTTTCAGTCAGTCTATCATCTACTTATTTTCGTAATCAACAGTTTAATTATTGTACTCTTGAATGTTTCAGTACGCAGCATTCTTCCAAAATCATGCGTTACCAAACAACGTATGAGTTTTGTGTGTGATGTATCGTGATATATTGGTACTTATTTTTGAGCTGCTGCATAACGCACTATTTTCTAAAACGCGTGAGTAAAACAGATGTTTGTTTATCTAGTCAAACCGTATACTTAGTAACTGTTAGATAACAGACAGCTACTGAAGGATTCCAAAGCTCATTGTCCCTTCCCGTGCCAAGGTATTTGTTGAGGAATTACATCTTTTAAACTTAGCGCATAAGTGTAGCATAACTATTAAGTTGCAATTTACTCTAAAAGTGACATATCACTAACGAAATGCTCATAAAACAGAGCCTTATAGATATCTGACTGTTTCCCGCGTCCGTCCCAACGACCTTAAGCGCATGCTATACTTTGGTTAACGGCACCTGTCATTATCATATCTGGAATCTCAACGCTGCTGACCAACTACGGAGCAAATACCACCCAGATCATTTTTTGAGTACCATTTTTTCAATGGGTTAGTAGCTCGTTGAGGTTAGGATTATGTTTAAGGTAAGTATTCGAATTAGGATCAGGGTCATAATCAGAATTACGGCTAGGATAAGGGTTATAATTGGGGCTAGCACTAGTGTTAGGGTTCAGGTCAGGATTAAGACTAGGGTTACGATTAGGAATAGATATAGAGTTGACGTCATTTAAATTAGTTTGTTTTCTCATCCACATTTGCTTGGTAAGTATACTATAGTCGTCAATCCTCTCACCGAAAACTATATTATTTCAAGCAAGGGCTTTTAGGGAAGACTACACAACAGGATTAGAGAAATTAACGATTCAAAAAACAGCTTATTTTTTGTCACCTCGGTGAATGCATGTCCAGAAACCATTCTAACTTATCAACTGATACTCCTGATTATAACTGGGACGTGTTTTTAAGTCTTGTCACAGAAAGATACCTTGTTATATTGGTTTTCATGCATTTTCTTGTGAATATATGTCATCTTTTGTGCAAAAATGTCTCATTTTTATGATTGGTCGGTTGAGGGTCACTTGTGAGTTCTCATCCCACAGTACGCTATTGTTGAACTTTGCCCTTTCGCCGTAGTATTTCAGTTTCTACACCCATATTTTTGTAGTGGCGTAAGCCTTACAATCTCCTCACATTTTCTAAAGGAGTATAATATCATAGTACCACAAAAGCTCTTAAAAGGAATTGATCTAGTATATAAGATTGGCAGAATGTTTGTTGTTAGTGTAATTGATTCTCACTCATTTTTTTCGCTCATTATAGATACATCCAGTAAACACAAGCCAGCGACCTATTGAAAAGCGAAATAACTTGAACAATGAGTGAAAAAACGAATAGTATCCTGATTCCAATAGTAATTTTCCAAAAATTTCTACATTACCCCCAAATTCCCCCTAATGTTTTTACTTGGGTGGCTTCTAGCTGCTCAGTCGTTTTATATATTTGCAGTCTGATCAAAATACTGACGTAGGACAGATGTGTCATGATGTTTTATGGGTCTTTAGGTAGGGCGAACAGTTTAGGTGGTGATATAATGCTAACGTATTGAGATATGATGATTGATTGCTGTTGATTGAGCGAAGGGAATTAATGGCTGGCTATCTTTGTAAGAAAATATCCTTCATAAGTTAAATAACTCGACCTATGTAGTGCCTTAGGTTTTCATTTCCATATGAGCTGAGACTCATGAGCAGTCAGCTGAAAAATATCTGCTCACAATTGAATACGCAGCTTTCAAAACTCTAAAACTGTGACCACTCCAGACATGGATGTATGCCATATTTCTAAAACAAAAAGCATGCAAACCCATTTGTCAACATAGCTTCACCTGGCCAACATATTGAATTTCCGACCTACACTTTATAAGTGTCACATTATTCTATTGTTAATTCATTGAGCCTGGTTCATTCCCAACTGGATTTCGATGGATGGTCATTTGAGTAGTGTGTGGTCAAATTAGTCTGTAACAAGAGATGATTGTGTTATCAGTATCTGTGATCGCTAATTATGCGTCTTATAACTAGGATTTGAATGAGATGAAAGGATGGATTTCACCAGAAGTCGTCATCCTGTCTGTAAAAGTCAGGGACACAGATATAGACAGAGAAGCAGGTGTTCGCAATTTTTAAGTAGACAGACCGAGTCAGTTGTAAGGTGTATTCGGTAGTATCTATAGAATATAATGGTGAATAACAGGTGACGGTGATTATCTCTTACACTTCTGTTTACTGAATCACACGTTCCTGCCTAACAAAAACTTTAGACGTAGATATGGATATCTTCTCACTTAGTAACACCACGCTAAAAAACCATCATGATGTAAATAATAGAATTGTGGTAGTTTGCTACTTTTTTTGCAACTCTTTTATGAATTTCAGTGATGCTTTGGTTCGTCCGAATGCATTTTTGTAAGTAAATGAGTTTCAAGAGCAAGTAGTTACTAGGTAAGTGTATGCTCAATCTGCATTCAGCTGGGCGTTGAGTAAACACTTATTGGGCCAGCTTCACTTAAGGTATCTACAACCCTTGGGTCTGTATTTGTAAGATGACAGACCGTGACTTAGGAAAAGCAGGCCTGAAGAAAACAAGTTAGTTTTAGGTCCGGACAGAGAAGAATCGGTCATACCGCTCCTTTTCAATAATTTGTGGGAAAACAGTCACATCAAACATTATCTTTGAAGTTATTTGGAGTTATCTCTGTGGTGCAACCACTGTACCATGAGTTAAAACTTTTCTCTACACATTAAAGTTTGCGTACCCAGGCTATATCATTAAGTTTAAATAATCGTTATCGAGTTACGTTTCCATTAACTTGAAGGCAACACTTTATCATTGATTGACTGATGTTTTAGTAATTCCGATCTGTGAAGAAAGTGCCGAGTATGTGTGGGTGTGCGTTGCTAATCAGGATCTGCACTCGATCTCATGGAGCTCTACAAAAACCTAGAGAGAGTTATTCTTTCACTTTCGGACACCTGGTGTTACCATATTTGTCTCGCGCTTCAGAATTACTAATGACTTTTACTCTATCGTTTCGGCCTCACAGGGTTCGACTTGCTACTAAGGGGGAAGGTTAGTTGATTAAGAGTACTCAAACGATTTAGTTTCTTGAGGTGAATATAATGACGAATATTAAGATCCTCAGGAAACCGTAAGCAATAGTTTGAATATTTTTGACATGCGATACTGTTATCAAATGTTAGGTGATTCTACAAGATAGGTCGAAAGCGATTTCAGTACAGAAGCATTGAGCTAGCTTGACATGCGCCAACTCGCATCATTCTTGATTGAGTCGTAATGTTGGGATATACATCAAATAGTGTGTGTTGCTCAACAGTTTTCTTCGTCATTCTTAACATTTTGAGGATATGAAAAGAAAAATATGTTTTTGATCATAGGCATCTTCGTTCACTTGCTAACATTCAATGAGAAAACATAGTAAGAATGAAATCAGACGTAGACGTAGGTATAGAGAAGGGAAGTTAGCTGAGGACACTGAGTCTTCATCGATTATTGGGTCTGACAACATGCTTTATCCATGTCGCGCCATTGTTTTCCTAAACGAGGACCAAATTGGGAAGACCAAACCATTTTACCAGTCTATAAAGCCGTTAACAACAACAAAAAAGTGTGTGTTAACGCAGATCATTAAGATGCCCAACTGTGACACATATAACCACCCAGTGTTCAATTCTACTTGATTTGATCATTCTTATTTAGTACTACAAAATTCTGAAAAGCTTCAAAAAGAGTTTTATAAAGTTGATTTGTTGATTTCTTTTAGCTCGATTAAATAAGTTGTGCTATTTCAAATGATGTCTAATTATTTCGCATATCTACATAAATGCCAATCATTGACTTAACTATTATTTCAGACGCTTTAAACTTTGTTGATGCTAATTTAGTTTCTTTTTCTTTCTTAAAGGTTTTGGATCACTTTGAAAATTGCTTAATTCAGTCATTATTTGAGTGCCTAACAATACAGTCAAACTTAGTACAGAAACATACTGTTCCGCTTGTTCAGTGCAATGTCTGCATTTTTTAATTCATACCGGACGTTTGCTTGGTCGGTTGGTAGGCGGTGGTTGTCATCAGAATGTTTCGAGAAGAGTTCATTGGAAACAGAAAGAATTCGAACTGTTAGTCCACAGTCGGTTCATTGGTTTCCGGGACATATGCATAAAGGTATGGAGGTTATCCATTCTAAACTCCCACTTGTTGATATTATCATTGAAGTCCACGATGCAAGAATACCTTTCTCAGGCAGACCAGAGTTTTTTCAAAAGTTTGAAATGGTGAGGAGGGATAAATTGATAATTTTCGTTTAATCGGTCAACTCAATTATTTTTAAATGTTACATATTTTGCTAATTACGTCACTATTGGGCTATGCGAAATACTGACTACATTCCTTCACAACACTGTAAATGTATAAATCTGTATTTAGGTCAATCTTGTCTTTCACAGCTTTGTACAATTTGGACGATCAATTTTTAGCCACCATAATTTGAACAACCACCACAGTTGTTTTAGCTGTAGCATTCAGGCATGAAAATGAATCAGTCATTATGTAAGTTGGCTGCCGTTAAGATGAATTCATACATAGGTATGACCTTGTGGATGAACTGTTTGTACTACCGTAATGCTTTTATGTGCCAAGTTTATCTCTCGTTTGGGTGGCTTTCGAAATTATCGCTTTAAATGCACTAACATAAGAAAATTCCTTGCAATTAATCTATAGGGACAACTACTGAATTCACTTACAAAACTATATGTCAATGGTTATTAAAATTACTTATGACTGGAGAACTTTCATGTGTAAATACTTAAGCTTCTTATTGTTCTTCGGTTGATCTAATTTATAAGGAAGTACAATGGTTCCTGTGAGTCCCTCACTAGAAATATTGCATAAGACTCAAGCAATATAGAGTTGTTCTGGTATGTGCGTACTTAAGATAGGATCAGCATCTGTCAGTCACTAGCGACTTCTACGGATTATCCAAGCCATCTAGAGAAAGAAGTCTGCTATCGATGAGTAGTCAATATGTTGACCAACTACCTACAGATAAGACTGGAATACTGGGAGATGCCTGATGTCCTCGTTTTTTATTTAATTTCATAGATGTATCAATTGATGTGATTTTAATAGACTCAGTCTACCTAAGGATAGACTTATTACCGGGGATCAGTCTCGCCGATTTAGAATATGTGGTTGATTTGGTTCGGAATGAACGTCTTAAGAAGTCTTGGTATGTTTGGCGTAAGATTCGCCCGTATGAAATGTGAGTTGATGTTGCAAGACTGGTCTGCACCGACACCTAGTTTGTAGATAGAGTGTAAATTTTTTTAGCGTGTTGACCACTCCACTTATCTGGGAGGTTGCAGAAGTCCCAATAGACCGATTGCTGACAAAGTCTCAGCAAAAATACAAAATGCTCGTGTGTTATCTACCAATCTCTGGCGTAGACGTGATTTCCGGCTATCTGTCAGAGGTCCTGTGTATTGCGCGGTAGCCTTCTCTGTGTTGTTTTACAGCTGTGTAATGTGGGCGTTAGGGTAGCTGCTTTTGGTGACAGATGTTTACTTTCTGGCGTGTTAAGTGGTATAATCTGTTGAGTAATATTGAAGTTAAGCGTAGAGTGTAAGCAAGGTGGACAGGTCACCCGATGACGTTGTGAAGCTGCATCTATTGAGGTGGCTAGGACACCTCCACCTTTTTCATCGAACGGTATTGGCCGGCATAGGATTAGGTTAGAAAATTGATAGGGGTGGTCAAATCAGAACCTGGCATCAATTCATGAAGTATATGCATGTTAGTTTGAGCCACTTTAAGAATGTGTGAGCCGCTCCAGTGGGGACCTTGGTATGCTAAGAACCAAATACTGGAGACTATTAGTGATATGGCTCCAAGTCGTTTTCAGTGGTGCAGGTATTTTCATCTTTTATAATCTCCCAGATTCATGAGATCCTCACGGTTCTCAATGTAATTTTTCTTACTTATACGTATCTGTCCATTATGGTACTTTTGGACTATTTATTTCTCTCTGCTTTTTGTGCCATATAGATTATTGCAACTTGAACTGCTTCACTTTTGTGCAAAGTCCTACAATGAAATTTAGTTATCTGATGGACGAAAAGTTTAACTATTCCCTTGATTCAAAGCCTTTGAGCGTCCATAAGACGTGCTGACTAGATTAGCTGTGGTGTTACTTTTGGAGCTTATATCGATATAAACCTCTCATATTATTATACTTTTTTTAAATTAAATAATGGAGACACACTAATTTAGAGGGATTCACAAAAGTACTCTGGTATTAAGTGCTATACTTCAAATTAGCACACATTAAAGGAAATTTATGGGAATCATACTATTATAGATAACCATAAGTAAAGATAATGATTAGATAAAAATTGTTGGTGCTCAAAAGTTAGAAGACGATGAAGATTGATTACATGTCTGCCATTATGAGAAATTTCGAGACACTATGCAGAAGACTCTGACTAGATGCTCGGAGTCAGAAAAGTTAGTGTTAATATTCAGATCGCTGATTCTAAGCAGCCATCAGAAATCCAGCTTCTGAAGGCTTTTAGGCTTCGAGTTATTTATGCTCCATTTCAGTTGGTTAAAGTAAGATCTTATGTGATTAATAATTTTTTTAACAAGAAGTTACTTGTCATTTTGACTTGTTTATTTGCCATTGAGTGAGAAATAAAAGAGACTTTTAATCTACGGAAAATTTCAGCTTTAAAATACCAAATATCTTCCACTCATTGCCAAAATCATTTCACACTATTAAATTTGGATGTATGATTTGAATGTCTGCAAAAAGATACTCATTTTCAGATGTTTGTAAACGGACTTTCTTTCAGTTGTATCAAAAATGTGTTGAGAACTACGTTGCATAACGTCACTAGCAATATGCGACACTTTCATTTGTTGTTTGGTTAATCAAAAATTACTCTTTTCGTAAGCATCTCACTATCCATTGATCTAAGATATCTTATTATTTCTTATCTGTCGTATCTCTGCCATTTGTTTTGAATGTAGAAATGACAATCTCAGAAGACATTGTTTCTTGGTACTAATTTAGGTGGAGGGCGTGTCATGCGTTGAGAACAATGTCGCTTCTCGTATAAACATTAAGAGCCTTCGTTTGATTTCAAATATTTATTGGTTTTATAATACTCTGAGTTTATTCTTATAGACTTTAGTTTTCTAATATTTTTATAAGATACCTAGTTTGGATTCGCGTGAATACTCATATATTGTTCAATTGCCAGAGGCTGTTCACCTTAGCGACCTGCTGCGGATATGGGTACGGCCTGCCACGAAAATTATACTGCCTGGCTCGGATCTTCAAGGGCCGACAGGAGCGTTCCGGACACCACAAGAAGGGTGGTGCTTTACGGAGGCTAGCCTCCTATCTATGGACAAGCCGATTCCAGGAGGTGGATGCACTCCTAACAAAGAGAAGAGAACCCTTCTCAGAACTCCCACCGACGTCTCCGAGTTCGGCTGCGTTACCGCGCTGGGCACACATTGAATCAAAGATCCAACATGCATGAATCTCCGTGGACAGGGTCGGGAATACTAACCCGATTCCCTTTCGCTACAGGGGGCTGCGTTGCAACAGTACAATTTAGCAGAAATACTAACAAAGCCCGCAAGTGAACAATGTCAGGCACCCCGTCTCTGTTCCGATTTACCGGATCACTTAGGACCGCCTGACCCATGGCCAACTGCTGTTCCCATGGAACCCTTATCCACTTCGGCCTTCAAGGTTCTCATTTGAATATTTGCTACTACCACCAAGATCTGCGCCTGTGGTTGCTTCACCTAGGCATACGCCTGAGGCTTCCCGCTAGCTACAGCGACCCTCCTACTCGTCGCCACCACTCCGTGCCTGGACCAAGTCAGTTTGCCTTCACACTGCTTAGGCCCAGCTTGCACCAACGGTACGGTATAGGTCCAACGCTCGAGCGCCATCCATTTTCAGAGCTGGTTGATTCGGCAGGTGAGTTGTTACACACTTTGACTTCCATGGCCACCGTCGTGCTATCTGGACCAACCAACATCTTTTGTGGTATCTCATGAGCTTCGCGTTAGGCACCTTAACCTCACGTTTGGTTCATCCTACAGCGTCAGTTCTGCTTACCAAAAATGGCCCACTTGGCACTCACATTCAATGCAAAACTCCATTTAAGCGAGTTAAGCTTCTCACCCATTTAAAGTTTGAGAATGGATTGAGGATGTTTTCTCCCCAATGCCTCTAATCATTCGCTTATGTATTGCTTTTTTAAAAAGACTTTTTTCTGTTAGCTGTGTACTCTCCTAGTTTTGTTCTGTGACTTTTAATTTGCATCTTACTGTATTGATTTGTAGACAAGGCCTACTATTTTGCTACTGAATAAAGTTGATTTGGCAGAAAAAGTTACTGATCGAGAAACATACAAAGCCCGGATCCTAGAAGCATCAAAGATTGTCAACCGAAGTCCAATTGAAGTGTACTATACTCAACTAAATGCACCAGAGAAACAAAAACGAACTCTGAAAAGAATAATGTCTAGGTTGGTAAGCCACTTATCATGTTAGAATTACATGATTTGTGTAAAAGTTACTAATGCGCATGCATATTGAATTCAATTGTTAACTGAAGACTAGTATTTCTTTAATTTTAATCCTGTTTAATTTGCATATTGTTTTTCAAATTTACAGTCTACCTCATTTGGCTGCTAGTGCAGGAAGTATTATTAATTCTACTATAACTCTAATGGTTGTGGGTATACCGAATAGTGGAAAAAGTACATTGATTAATGCTTTACGCGGAATTGGACGTGGAGGTCCAGGAGGTGCAACAAGAGTTGGTCGTAATGCAGGTCAAACTCGTTCTGTTGGTCAACCAATTATCTTGTGTAGGGGACAACTAAACAACATGGTGGATGAAATGGACTATCATACGAACAGTTCTGATGATTACAGAATCCAAGTTTTTGATACCCCCGGTATTTTGGAACCTCGTGCTCAAACTTTAGCTGAACGATTAAGTCTTTGTGTTTGTGGAGCTGTTGATTTAAATTCTGTTCAACAAGGCAAGTGTTCTTTTCCACTTACGGTAGGAAAAATTCATAAGTTATTTTGATTTGGTTTTTTCCCTTTTATCGAGCCTTGAGTCAAACAAAGCTTTTACTTTTATCTCGATTAAACTTAGGGTTATTGAGTAGAGTGGTAATGTCACAGTCCAGGTTATTCAGAAATTTTCAAGACTGGTCACGAACTGACTCCAGCTAGAGAACTATTAAAAACCAGGGAGTAATAAACAGCCGTTTCCCCCTTGTGTGGGACTCTTCAACACTTTGCATCCATGACCACACCAGATGTCAACCCAGGACTTTCAGGTGGCAAGGCGAACTCGTATAGCATTGGGGAACTGGGATGGAATCCGATGGCCCATGAATTCTAACCTCTGCCACTCCTGCCATTTCATGATCAGTATTAAAATCAATCAAATCCCTGTAAGCCAAAACTTGAAAGCATTCAGGAAGTACTTTGGATTAATTTTATTCATAAAGCATAATTACATGGTGTTTGTGTTGTGCAAGGCTTCTTAGTTAAATGTGCTGCATATACAAGTTGTAACTAATCATGAGAACTGAAGTTTAATAAACTGATATTTAGTTCACAAATAAAACTTACTGACTTGGCTGTCTGCCAGAATATATATATATATATATATATATATATATATATAATGTCTTAATGAAAACATTCTTATTTGCAAGAAATTTGGTTTGAATAATATCTGTATACCGTGTCTATAAGATAATCGACAATAACTATGAGATAGACGTGCACTGATTTCATTCTAGTGGTTCTCTGCTGTACAATTCTTGGAAAACGTCATCCACATCAAGCTTCCTTACTCCCAGAAAGGAAGACCGAATATGATTTAGAACTACGGAGATTCATCCACTGCTTGCCGCATTGAGCATTCTTAAGATTTTTACGAGTTTTTACATGTAATTATTATCTGTGCGAATATCTGCGTCAGTGATTGTCGCATTACATTTATTTCTTAATATTATGTGTGCTTTTCCGATACACAGTAACTTGTAGTGACACAGTGCTGTGAAAAGTTCTGCATTTTTGGGTTAAACAATCTCTGAAGTGTCTCTTGTTGCTCGGAAAATGAAAATAACAGTTGTAACAATCATTTCGTTCAGAGGCAAACTCGTCAGCTGACGACGTTGTTATAGAGATTAAGTACTCTATCAGTATTCCGTATCAATTGTATTTTTTTTTAATGTTATTGTTGAATCGTCTACATCGTAGCAGTGTATATTTATCACCATTATCTATATGTATAGTGAATTCTGGGTTAGTACTTTGTATTATTGATGTTCATCTAATTGTATACAAGATTTTAAAAGGAAAGGGAGACTACATGCATTTCAAAATATCCTGATGACCAATTTCAGTGAAGTAGGAGACAGTGTAGAGTGTGGACGATATTTGTTGTAAGTGTAGTCTATCTACATATGTCCTATGCTGAATGCAAGTGTTTATAAAGCCGTTGCATTCAATAAAATTCATTGAAAGTGAAGGTTTTTACCAGGTCATTCTGATATCTTTGATTGAAACACAGTATTATGTATATATTAAGTCTATGTGTAAGACTTATTGTTTTAGCCTCTGTGAATGGTGTTGAAACATCCAAATCACCCAAAAGTTTGCATTAAATTATTTTCTTTCACCACCTTTACGTACTTATACTCGATTGGAGTCTAACTGACTGACTGGTTTCAACACAGAACTTTGCACCGATGTGCAGCAGTTCGAGTCGCCACACTCCATGTAGCACACAAGGTAAGAGAAGAAAGTAAAAAGAAATGCAAAATAGAGACAGTAAACAGAGATATGAGGCAAAAACAATAGTCATGTCGAAGAACCATTTAGTTTTATTGGATATCATAAGTCACAAGGAGTGGAGGCATCTGCATCAGCCTTTGAGAACGATTTTCAGCCATATCACCGATTGTCTTCAGCCATTGGTTTTACCATCCCTAGGACCCCAACTAGTCTAGAAGTCTACACCTCCCAACGTGGCTGTCTGGTTTAAACTAACTGTTGTGTATTTCATTGACTGATGAAGCAATGTTTTGGTTTGACCACCACTAGCTCTTTTCCAACCTGATCGATACTGTGTCAGCTAACATTGGCCGTCGAGGAAGGCGATGGTTAGACATGAGTAACACATATCCTAACCACCTCAATCGATGTAATTTCGCAACCTCATCGATTGATTTCCCCTCCTTACCTAGCACTCGACTGATGCCTAACCTTAGTATTACTCACCTTATCATACCACCTAACACGGAAGACAGAATGGAGACACTTATGGTCAAAGACAACTAACCTTTTCATGTCTTCCACTTTCAATGGTTGTGTCTCATAGTCATAAACGAGGACATAGCAAACTGCTGAGCAGTACACTTATCGTTTGGTTGACAGTCGTTATTTATGAACAGTTAGCGTAGGAATAAAAACATGAATAAATTAGTTGACATGCTTCCTATGTACTTGCTGATTGGTGATTATTTCAATACAATTTTTGTCAGTGCACTTCAACTTTTTCTTGCTGCATAACTTGTTATTGTCATATAATATAATATATACTGTGATATATAATAGAAAGCTGTTTCTCACTTTTAGAAATAGTCGTTGACTATCTATTATTCTGGTGGAATTATCGTCAACGAACAGAGTATATTAGTCGTCTCGATCTTTCTGGTCCAATCACAGATGTCAATGAATTGTTACTCCATGTATGCTTGAAGAATAATTTTTTTCTGATTACAAAAAATCCACGTTGGCAAGCTCATGAAATTGAGAATATCAATGAACTGTCGTCAAATAATACTAGTCGAGAGATAAAGATACCAGATGTACGACATGCTGCTTCATATATTCTTCAATTATTCAATAAAGGATATTTTGGTCGAACTACTTTTCTACCTGAAGATGAATTGGCAGCTAGTAAATTTTTTCATCTTGCACGCAAACGTTGACCAGAGTTCACGGCAGTTTGATATCCTATATAACACTTGTAGATTTTTGTAAATAAATAATTAACTTATGTAGTGATGGTTTTTGTTATTGTTTTCTTGATCCCATCTCCCCAAGTGTATGTATGCATGTATGTATGTGTATGAGTGTGTGTGTGTGTGTAGTGTATTTTGTCTAGTTGTTTGGTCCTTGTAACCGAAATACGTTTGTATGGTCAAGCAACATCCTGCTTGTTATTTCCTTTCTATGGTAATGATTGTTTTAGTATTGTTATATTGATTTTGTTTTCATCTATTCTGTTGGATGCATTTATAAGGAGTAGAGTTGAGTTAACATTTTTTCTAATCGTGGAAAATACCCATCAGGATATTAGAGAGAAAGGAATAAGAAGTTCAGCAAAGTTATCTTTTTAACGATTTCATTCTTAAAAGCAGCTGCACATTTGCATTTATATGCACAAGTCTACATAGATACAATTATTACTCAATTCCACGTAGTAACGAAGGAGATTAATATTGACAATAATTTTCAACTTGACATGAAGGTTTGAAGGTGTGAATATAGATTACAAGGGGTTTAGAGACAAGATTACTCAGGACTAGAAAATAGTTGCGTTGTATGTAAAATCGATTTTTCAATGAATACTTGTCCGAACGGGTTGATTATGGAAACAAATTGAGATAATAGTTGTTTTCTTATTTTTTTTATCACTGAAATAATAATTTTCTCACTTAACTTGCAACTCTGTGAAGATATATTCACAGAAGACCATCATGGAATGACCAGCTGACGAACTTCCACATTTGGAATACCTGTCAGTCGACGAAGAACTCTCATCATCTCGCTGGTCTACCATATCAGAAGAATTTGCAGCAATGACTGCTTGGCTCAAAATCAATATCCGACATATGAAGATAAAGCCAAAAAGAGAAGAATGAACTTCAGTGCCAAAAGAAAACACTATATTTGAATCTGGAATTCAGGGGAGACCTAGTAGTAGATATCCTCAAGAGGAGAATCTCCAGTTTCCTCTAGCAACTCTAAGAGTGATATTCTCCAGCCGCCCACTCCTTCGAAGCAATGTGTAGATATGACCACTTCAATGTGCAAATATTGGTTCACTGCTCGTGTGGAGCTAGGTACATGGGTCGTTTTATGAGGGTCGTATCAAAACGTATTAAAGAACATTACCCAGCAACACTGAGAAGAGGAGGCACTGGTTCAGTCAGGAGCGCCATAGTTGAACACCTCATCAACACCTGTCACAGCATTTCATCTGAATCATCATTCAGAGTCACTTACAAAGTAAACAAAAATCTACCAAAGGCAGTGTGTTTCCAACTTCTTTGTACCGCAGAAGCCCTTGACATATGCATCGAAAAGGCGGAGCTGTGTGTTCAAAAGAAACTAGTCCAACCTCTATGTTTACCATGAATCTAGTTCGGTTTGTTCCTTTAGATCTCGTTTTTTCACTCCCTTCATTTTCTTTTCTCATTTTCAGTCATAGAATATGATTTCAATTTATTTCCATATTCATTCCATTCACACCTTTATTCGTTTAAAAACAATTTTCTTCCCCATATAATTTTGTTTCTAAACCCCTTGTTATTTTTTTTAAATTTTGATTACAGCTTGATTCCACACTGTATTTTTGGTACAAGTATGGAATTTGCAGCATGGATATCGGTAGCCCAAATTTTGCAGGCCGACCATAGATATCCGGTGTGCGTCGGCATGGGCTCGAACCTCGGACTATGTGCATGGTCGGCGAGAGTCCTAATCACTGTGCCACCGACGCACAATATTATCTATATTCATGCCGTCAGACTTTCATGTCAAGTTGAATTTTATTATCACCTTTAATCACCTTCGTAAAAATATGTGGAATTGAATAATGCGAATGTGTAGTTGCTTTTGAGAAAGAAACCGTCGAAAAGATAACTTTGCTGGAATTTTTGTTCTTTTCTCTCTAATATTTTTCCAATTGTCTCAAGCATAACTATTTTATCGAGCGTAAATACATCGTTCACAGGGCTGATACTGAATGTTCTAAACTATTGAACCGTGTTTTGTCTACCAAAATTACTGTATCTGGTCACCAGTGTTGTATTTATGACATCAAAAATGACTAGAACTAGACTCCTGTTATTATGGTCACCTTTACTTTTGAGTATTTGTTTTCTGGGTTTAATGTTCACCAGATGTTGTGCTACCGAGCTGTAGGCATACTTGCTTTCTCCATTTTCTCTGGTCAGTGTGTATGGTGTTGCCGAGAGCGTTTTACAAACAGACGCAGAGTACGGTCAGTGTACTCAGCTCCATAGGAACAAGTGACTATAATATACAGGTTAATACGGCTTGTCTTTCATGTGCTGGCCGAATATTTTATTGCAAGGAAGTGTTACTCTCTCTCTCTTAGGCTGGCAGTGAAGTATGTCTTACTGAAGGAGTGCAGGTATGTTTAGTAGCTCGATAACAGAACATTCGGTGAACTCAGAACACTCAGCTTCATTTGAAAAATCCTTCAAAATTATATACAACGTCCATTTAACATTCAAATAAACTGACAGCGGTTAGAGGATCATTGAAAAACCTGATAGTACTGGACAGCCAGCTTTATCGTCCTAGTTTGGGACTCTTCAGCAGTACGCATACACAGGTTTGAACCCAGGACCTTCTAGCTAAAAGGCGAGCTCGCAGACCATAAAGCCACTGGGATCCGATCCAATGGATTATGAATTCGAAATTCTGCCACTTCATGGTATAGCGCGACTAGCACTAGCGAATGTCATCGGCAAGTTTATGTCTTCACACCCTACCTGCTGTACCCTACTGGTCACAACTTCCCACTAGAACCCAAGTCACTACTCACCTGAATAGGGTTAGTGGGCGTCAGATTGATATTCAAGTTTTGGTGTACAGGGATTTGATTGGTTTCAGGATTTTCATCATGAATTGGCAGATATTGAAATTTATGGACTGGTTATTGGATTGGGTCCCAGTGTCTTAATGATCTGCGAGCTCGTTCGTCTTGTAACCAGAAGGTTCTGAGTTCGATACTCAGTGGGTACATACTGTGAAGAGTCTCAAAGTAGGACGAAACAGCCGGCTGTCCAGTACTCTCAGGTTTTCTAATAGTCCTCTCACTGCTGTCAAATCATGATGAAATCCTCAAACCAACCAAGTCCCTGCAGACCAACACTTGAATATTAAATTCAAATAAACTTTAGAAGCAGTCATTGTGCTTTTCAATTCTGTGTTATTCTGTTAAAAGTTTAAGATATGATCACCCGTAAGATTTTCGGTAATCATTCTTTGTAAGAGAAAAGATTATTTTTATTCTGTCACTCCTTTCCTGTTAATATTAATGTTAGAAGTCATCAGACACAAAATTTTATCGACTGGGCAAATAAATGATTTTAAGAATTAATGGCCCTAATGTTAGTCCTGATAATTTGTTTCCAGCTAAGAATGGTCGAATGTGATATTGCAAAATCCTCCCAGAAAAGTTCCAGTCCATTGCTACGTAAAATTCATGCAATCATTATACAATGCCAATATTCTAGTTTTCAATGCTCATTCACAGTTTAAGCGAAAGTAAACTTAACCAACAATCAGACTATAGTTAGTGTGTGTTAGGGAGTTTTGTAAAAACATTCTCCTTGCTTATTTGGTTTCTGAATGGTTATTTTTTGCTTGTTTGTTCTCTCCAATGTTTAACATAATTCCTGATGCTTTCTAGATGGATCATCGAACACCAGAACCTTCAGGTGCAGACAGTGTCGATCCTGTGAAAAATCTTGACTTGGGTCAACCTCCAGAAGACTGGTCAGGTTGGTTTTCATATATGGCCTTAAAGGTGAGTGTTAGTACATAAATGTTGATAATTGCAGGAATATTTGTATACTTGATATCGCTTATTAAACATTCAGTTGTGGTTATATTGTATGCAAATAATGCAATGCTGTAGTATGACTTATATTTCTACGGCATTGTACGATTAGTTGTTCCAGTCGGTTAAACTGTAGGTATACAAACACTAGACAATGATGTTTACCTCAAACTGATTTCGAGATATTACTCTCAATCACTTAGGCATTTTTCACATACTGAAGTATAATCGCTGGGTAAGATTAGTAGTACTTGTAGAATAACTATGGTCCATCATCTTCGTAGAATACTTGTTTACCATCTCCGATGTGAATCACTACCATTACCCCTCATAGGTGAATAAAACTCAGTCACCCAGTGCTGCAGTCAGAGACGTTACCACTGAGCTATTCGGGCTCGCGATTGACCTCCTGTAGAACTGTAGTTGATATTTTCATTGGACACTAGTAACTAGTGTGATGTGTGTAGTCCTTTCTTCGCTGCAGTCTGAATTCAATCCATCAGGTGTGTAATGTGGCTACAATTCTAGGTAGCTCGCCATCTAATATCATCAAATAGAGCATCTTATCTATAATGGAGTTATACTGTACCACAGTGCCCAAGTTTTATACATATATAAATAATAGAGTATATTAAATCTCATACACACCTCTGCCTTATAGACTTTTTTATTACCACACTTCCCGGTTTTTTTAAAACTGTCGTTTTTAATTTATTGTTATTTTTAGTTTGTTTTATATGTTGCAAAAAATCCTTGGGAGTTTCTTACTTCAACAATGATCATTCTTACACCTCTTATGCTGATTTGTGCTTACTGTTCATACAAATTAGCCAAAGAAATTAAACGGCAAGAAGTTGATCAAAAATTGAAGGCTAAACGCGCAGCTGCTATTAACAAGTCAAGGAAGCAAGTGAAAACGGATTAAGTAAATTAATTTATTTAATTAAATATGTTTTTTGTTCGAAAATAGCTTTGTAGCTTCTAAAATTACTTCTGCCTCCTATCACATTTCAACAAAGTTTGTAGAGATGTATCGCTGTGGTGTATACTGTAGGCTGAAATTACCGGCAGTGACTTTTACTATTAGGCTTCATCCAAAGCACATTTATTTGCTTTACAAAGAATTGAATAAGTGAAACTTAGAGACACTGATTTTATTTAGAAATTATTCAGTTCATTATTTTGTTGTCTAAAGATTCATTCAGTTTTGCTCTGGTGAAGCTCATGGGTACGATTGTCGATGTAATCAATATAAAAATTTTGTTATTGACAAGGCAATCATCTAGAACCAGATAAGATCCTGTTGTATTGAACATGGCTATTTTATTCTGTGTGTGACTTTCGTATATGGACTCAAATCACTTACTTACGAGCTATAGGTGGAGAGAGGGTCGATGTAAGATTGCCGCTCCTCCTGGAGGCACATGTATAGACTCCATTCACACTGTGGTCTATGCCTGCAACTGACTGGACATGGAAAATAGCCAGATATAAAGTCGTTACATCCCAAAGTATGTTTTACTAATCAAGGCACTTTAATCGAACAAACACAGTCTTATAAAAGCTTGTGAAGGGTTGTTATCTGATGTGATGAAAAACGGAAATATCCGTTTTTGATGTAGTTGCGTTCTTTGCCCTACTGGGCAACATCAGCGCATACTTCAGTCTGAAGTGTTAAAACAATGAAAGCTTCGCAAATAAATCATTCAGCTCAGAGAACACAACTACATCAAAATCATCCACATGAGCTACAAATCTTTTCAGCCATGCATAAATCTTACGAGCGGAGGTATCCGTCAAGGATGCCCAATGTCTCCATTCTTGTTTATGATAGATGCACTAATACATTTCACTCCATTATTATTATCATCATCATTGTTCCCTTGGGTTCCTAGTGGAACATAGGGCTTAAACTGCATGTCTCCACTTGCTTCTGTCTTCTGCTATACCTCTCACCTGCATCCATGTTAGTCCATACTGTTTCAACTCCTCTCCACACGATCTCCTCCATGTCACCCTTGCACTGACGATCAACTCGCCGCTTCCCTTCCGGCCTGGTTCCACTCGAGCAATGGCCTGACGCGTGCGCGATGTCACCCAGCCGCCTCCTCAGCTGCGAGTGTCCGATCCATCTCCACTTTCTCCTGCATATTTGTTGGTTGGCGATTGGTTCTTGGTTTGTTTGTTTGTTTGTTTGTTCCCAGCCAGTTTCTTCTTGTTGGTGATTCTTTCCGACCCGGCCATCTGATCTTCAGTATAGATCCAGCGAAGACAGTTGTTGATAAAGGTCTGCAACAGGCTGTTGGAAATATTGTTTGTGACCCGCCCGCCAAGTTTCTGATCCATATAGAAGAACTGACTGACTTGACATTTGTATTGAAAATCCGAGCGAATTTCGTTGTTGATGCTGAGTTGAGTAACGAAGATTTCCAGATTGGTTTCAAGTTGATGAGTGAATGTGTTTCTCGCCTACCTTCCCGATTCTCGCTCGATTTGACATCGTCGTCCGTTCCGACTGCCTATAGTTGAGACAATGCTCCTTAGATAAGCGAATGAGGTAACCTCTTTCAAATCCCTCCCGTCGATGGTGATTGACGCTGGATGTTGCTGCTGCTGTTGTTGTTGGTTGGTTGGCTGGTTATTTTCATAACCTCCGTCTTGTCTGTGTTCACTTGGAGTCCTGTCTTTGTTGCTTCTTCGACCAGTTTGTCCGTTTTCGCTTGTAAGTCTTCGATTTTGTGACATCAAACATAAATCATCTGCAAAATCCAGGTCTCCTAGGTTCTTCACGTCGGCCCAGGATATCCCTGTCTTCTCGTTCCCCACTGTCTGACGCATAATCCAGTCCACCACAATTAGGAATATCATTTCACTCTAGTCGACTTTAAGAACTCAGGAACTGACTGGTTACCGGTGTACTTCAAGTATGAAGATGACATTGTCCTGTAAACCCCTTGAACTGTCTGTCTGTTTTCGACATAGAACTTTGCTCAAATGTGCGGAAGTTCAAGTTGCCACATTCCGTGTAGCACGCGAATCAAGAGAAGAAAGTACAAGAAAAGCATAATAGAAACAGTGAGCAGAGGTGTGAGACAAAGGAGTAATAAACCCCTTGAACAAAAGTCTTGATGTCTTCTTCAGCATTCTGCTCGCCCCTGTCTTCGAGCAGTAATACTTTTAGAATACGTATATAGCTCCTCTTTATTTGACACATTCATTTTTTATTTAAATATTTTTATGGTTGACTCAGTTTAGTTTTAAAAAAATCAAAAGTTATGTGGAATTTTTCACATTTAAGTTAACTGTACACTCATATCCTATTTTTTTCTTCATTTGTAGATATTTTGAGGAAACTGTGTGTATTTGAAAGCTGCTGTTGTGTTTTTCGCTTTCTGGATCTGCACCTTTTAATTATGCGTGATGCTTTTAACTACTTACTGTCTGTGGAAAACAAAAATAGAATATTTGTACTGCACTGTAAATACGATGATGTTTCAATAAAAAATAAGACTATCTGTAGATACTCAAGTATGCACAGATTAACATATCATCGTATTATCTATCAAACCATTTCAATGTGTTTAATATGTTAACGTTTTTAAAGGGTTTTTTTCATTTGATTAATTTATTTCTTAAATAAAAAATGTCAGGCGTTTTTTTTTCAATCGCGAAATGTGCCCATTAATTTATAAGGTATAACACAGTTTGTTGTTCAGCGAAGAAATATCTCTTTTTTCAACGACTTCATTTTCAAGCCAACTGTACAGTCGTATTTATATTAAGGAAAAAGGCATTAAGTAGTGGTGTGGTGAGAGCAGGCTGCTAGCCGATTGGTTGGCACTAGTCTACGTTAAGGTCTAGGTCACTAATATGGGCCGTGAGAAAATATGAACAAGCCTGAGTCAACAACCAATCACAGCAAAGTTAACGTGGCAAAATATGATTCGCAGAGAGAACTCTATTTGTCAAGGAATCCCGAAACAACCAACCAGAAGCCTGCGTTTGTCTACCTAAACAACCAATCAGATGACTGCGCTTGTCTATAATAATGTAGTTGAAAGATGTATAAATACGTGTTGATTTTCATAATAAAACGATCTGTTGCCTGGCCCTTGTCTTCTGTTGTTACATTTGGTGTCGCTGCCTACCGACAAATGAAAAGCCTATACCCTGCAGTTTTTGATGGAGACATATGGATCTTCGGGCAGGACTTCAAGGCTTCTGCGCAGTTGAGTGGCGTTCAAGATCTGTCAGCGATGGAGCTGCTACTTGAGACGCTGCTGGGAGGTCGGGCGAAAGCAGCATATGAAGGTGTGGGCCGAAGTATGGACGAATGTTCGACAGGGTCAGGCAAACAGTTTCCAAAGTGGGAAGGACCATATATGGTCACTTCGAGATGGGGTTACGCAGACACAGTCGCAATGGCGAACAATAAGAGGCGCGTGAACGTCAGCGAGCTCCAGAAATGGATACAGCGAGACAAGCCAACGATGACGCCTGCACCAAGTAGATCAAGCCGACTTCAGTCGCACGTATTTGACGGGGGGACGAGTGTGGTGAGAGCAGGCTGCTAGCCGATTGGTTGGCACTAGTCTACGTTAAGGTCTAGGTCACTAATATGGGCCGTGAGAAAATATGAACAAGCCTGAGTCAACAACCAATCACAGCAAAGTTAACGTGGCAAAATATGATTCGCAGAGAGAACTCTATTTGTCAAGGAATCCCGAAACAACCAACCAGAAGCCTGCGTTTGTCTACCTAAACAACCAATCAGATGACTGCGCTTGTCTATAATAATGTAGTTGAAAGATGTATAAATACGTGTTGATTTTCATAATAAAACGATCTGTTGCCTGGCCCTTGTCTTCTGTTGTTACAGTGGTACTACAAATTGTTCAGTCAATATTACACATGTGTTAAGAATAAAGATAATTAAAATGATGTACTAAGGCGGGTGGGTAGAGTTGAAGTAAATGATTTACAAAACTTTTAAAGATTAATAATAATAATAATAATTTACTTTATTCCCAAAACAGTACTTGTAATACAGAATGGAATTTTCAGCATTAATCACAATATTGCATATAATTTCCTCAAATCATAAATAAAATTAATCACACAGAAAATTTTCCACATTTACAATAGGGGTAATGTCAAAAACATGCAGCATATAAAATGGGAATAATAATAATGATGATAACAGCTAAGGTAATAATAATAATACAAGTGAAAATTGCCGTGGGCTTATTTCACACAGTATTGTCGATACGGTATAGAAATGTTTAAAAATATTGAATATAATGTTCTCTTTACATGATATGGTGAGGGGAAAAACAAAAACTACAGCAGTCATAGAGATAAGTTGGTGTTTTCAATTATGAGAGTAAAACAAAGAAGCAACAGGACCATAAATATAATAGAAATAATAAAAGTAAAACTTGAAGGTATATAAGGATGGATAGATGAAAAAAGGTTGTTGCCTGACACTATTTTCATCACATAAAATATGTGCCAAGTATGGTGTCATAGAATTTTTATACTTAGACGTGCGAGGATACAGTTTTCTAAAGTTACTTCTTGTTCTACCTGAGGAGAGGCTAAGCGTAAAGTGGATGCTCCAAGTCAGACAAAATCCCTCTAGCAAATTTATTGCACGAAGTCAAGTGCCTATCGACAACGACGTTAACTATGTGGTCCACTGGGACACCACTCACTCTACTGACAGTTTCCAGCATTTTACGAATTGTGACACAGTCCTTTTTAAACAAACCAGGAAAGAATAAGGGTGAACAATAAAGAAGAATAGGTAGGATGCAAGAGTTTATGAACTGTAAGAGGAGGGGTTGAGTTATACCCGAGTGCCTTAACTTCTTAATGTAAAATGTCAGGCGGAATATTTTACTGGAGATCCCTAAGACATGGGAAGACCAGGAGAGATCAGAAGAGAGAATAATTCCAAGATGTATAATTTCTGATTTAATTCCTATATCATTGTCGTCAATGTTACAACTCTCATGAGAATCGACGAGTTCTTTTAACTGTCTTTTACATCTTAAGCTGAAACTAACAGTTTGACATTTAGAAGGATTCAGTTTAAGACCGTTAGACTCAGACCAATTTACTGACTACCGACAGAAAGCCACTGTAACTGTTAGATCATCGGCGTACTTCATAAAGTTTATTTCATCAGAGTGAGGCAAGTCATGTAACAAAAAAGAAAAGGAGAAAGGACAGTGAACTGGTATAAAGTTTTAAATTTGTAGGTCAAATGCCGTCTAAAAATATAACAGTACGATAATGATAACAGTAAAGACGGCAAAGGTGAAGTGGGATGAATTCAAGTGGTAGAATAGAATAAAGTAAAAGAACATTACCATGACCATGGTAGAGAAATGGGTTTGACAAAACGTTTTCGAATATATAATTTAGGTTTTTGTCCTTGTATAGCTAAAGCTTCGCAATGCATAAGTGGAGAAAACGTAGTCTTTTAGAGTGATTCGATTTGGTCCTGTAAATGGCTTTAAACGATAAATCAGGTGGGGCTGAATGACCTGACTCTACAAAGCGTTCATAGATTGAAGACTTTGTCTTCCTTTTCTCACCTTTTATCAACCAAACCAAGTTGTGTTCAGCTACGCGTTTATGGAGATTACGCTTACCAACGTCCAATGTAATCAGCTCCACACGATCATGTGAATGGGTATATGCACATAGAGGTGGCCATTAGTGGTAGTGTATCCTTGACGCATTGTCGAATCCCGTTTCGGCTGGTAAATACTAAATGTAAGTCGACTGCATAAAAACACCGTTTAATACATTTAGATAAAAGACTTTTAATTACTTCAGAAATGCTGTCGCCTTTGAAAGCTAAACTCATAAACTGTCTTCTTCGGCACTGATTTGGTTAAGGACGGTTTCTTTCGTAATATTTCTGTCGATAAACCTTCTAGGATATCCATTATTTAAGACAGTTGTACAGAGGCTTTCTAGTTGTAAATCGATCCTCTCTACACAGTAAATTTCCGAATTCTGGAGCATAGAGAACGGATAAGATTTCTCTTCCTGCTTACAGGAACCCAACTGTTGGAGTTAGTGTACTGACCTATAAATGTTGTCTTTCGGCAGACCAACCTTTCTAACGTGCCTTCCTCTCTTCTATCAAGCATCACAAATAAGAAGTGAAATGCGGAGTTCGTCATCACTTAACTTCAAATTAGGCGATTTCACCACTAAACTACTCAGCTATCTGTTGGATTGATAGATTTTGAGCAGCACATCGGACTGGACATTGATTTGTGTACAAAGTGAGTAGCGTTGAAATTAAAAACATCTTCAGGTCATTGATCGATTCATGAAGTGTTTACTTCGCTCATATAATCGTTCTAAGATGCATGCTTTACAAACTAGTGACGGTTAGTCCATTTCGTTTCTCTTTTGTCATCACAGCAGAAAGGTGTGTGAATAAACATTCCTTAGATCCCGCTCTGCTGTCGTTGTTTACAACTTGCAATCGATCATACAATGTGAAGCAAATGAATAGCGTCGGTGGCACAACGGTCAGGATGCTCGCCGACCACGCACAAGGTCCGGGACTCGATCGCAAGTCGACGCACACCTGATATCAATGGTCAGCCTGCTTATTTTAGGCTACTGATATCAAATGCTGAGAATTCCATAGTTGTACAAAAATACTATATGGAATCAAGCTATAATATTAGACCTTCTACAGTGTGTATTGTTAAGAAAACATTTGAGAATTCGACTTGCTGTCTGACGGTATCTAAAGAATTGAGTGCCTAATGAAAATTTGTTTTTCTTTTCATTCACTTGAACACATCTTAGTCGGAAGCCACTGGAATTTTTGACAATACTGAAGGAAAAATAATTAGTGTGCTGTTGAACTTACAGTATTTTAAATCACATTCTTCACGATTTAATTGGATAGAATGTTCATACATTTGGTTCCCTTGATAAATTTCGATAAAGAAAGGAAGACGAAATTTGCAGTATAAAATGATATCATTCTATTTCACAGGTTCTCATCAGCTGCAGACTACCTGAAATTACAATGGTTATATAGATGATAAAGTGTGTTATTATCATCTATATAACCATTGTAATTCCAGGTAGTCTGCAGCTGATGAGAACCTGTGAAATAGAATGTTGAAATTTTCTGATGAACTGAGGGAGGTTGGATATCTCGTTTGTCTAGGCGTTATTCTTGGAGGTCAGGGGACATTCAGATTTTATGAGGTGGGTATTTTCGTCCTCGGCCACTTAGTTAAAACCTAGCAGAAGAATACTCATCGATAACACTTATTGGTACTGAGGTTACGAATAGACAGATGCTGGGAATTATGAGCCACTACATTGAAGCTGAGTGGTAAAATTCTGTGAAGATCGTTAGTGTACATTGTAGAACAATCTTATACTTAGGTGAAAGAGTTGTCAAGTTCACCCCGTTCCCATATGATGGTCCTTCTAACTAAAATTGGCTCATAAGGAAATTAACTTTGGAAATCTAATTCCGGTCTAAGTTAATTATACTCACTGTACATTCAGGTGTATTAAATGATTGTCCGAAATGGTTACGTTATATTTGAGTTCATTCACTCTGATTTATCAACTATGTAAAGTTAGTGGATTAAATAATGAACAGTGAAGTCCACAGTACTAGGGTATGGGCATACTACTGTGTGCACATGACCAGTTATTATTCAACACTCAGGTGATCAGTTTGTTAGTAATCATCATGTGTAGTTTTTAAATTATATATCATGGGAACGTACATGTGAATCTATTCGTATTTTCTCACTGCTGAGCTTAGTCAAAATATGATGAATAGGTTTGTGTGTGTAAGGTTGAACCTCACGAAATTGTTAGCTTTAGATATTTTATGAAGATAATTGTCATTTTCACAGCCTCTGAACGAATAAATCATTCTTCCATGCATGCGTATTTTTCAAGCGACGAGTTGTTACGCCTTTGATTCCACAATGAAAAGATGTTTAAGCCTATGCTGAATTTATCATCTAAAATGGTGTATGCTACCGATAAGATTTATCAGTAATATATAAAAAGACGTTCACCGGTATAAAAATATCAAATAGCAGGGAAGTAGATTTGACATCAAAGAGAGAAAATGATTCAGCGTTCCGGCAAAACACAGGAGACACGAACAGAAGTCAAATAAACGCAATAAAAAGGGAAGCGGTAGCACAAGACGGAAGATCTATGCAAATGACGGTTTGGAGATAAGGTGTACATAATTTCGCTACATAGAGATACCAAATTGTAGATAAACGCTCCTTTACGAAGTCTCTCGTCAAATATCCACAGATTGATGCCTTTTAGTATAATACTACAATGCAAAATACACCATAGTTTTTGAGGGACATATGAAGTCTACTATCAGAAGTAAACTCAGGCTGCTCATATTTAGAGTCGAAAAACGCAGTATTATTTTGAGTTGGTGGAATAAATTTTTACCAAACTACATAGACATGTTGTGTTGAGCTACCCATTACTTGTAAGTAGCTAACCACAAATACGCAAAAAACGTGTTTACCCAGCTAAAGATTTGTATAACCAGGTGGTAGGTAGGTCTGTGATATCACCTAAGAATTGTTACGGTGACTGACTGTTGTATTTACCTACGTTTATGTCGTAACATTTTTGTAAGAAAGCAATGGTCTTCAATTACTAGAGCAAACCAAAACATGGCACCAGTCAATGAAATCTACAACAGTTAGTCTAAGCCACGTAGGAAGGTGTAGACTTCCGGGTGGGGTCCTCGGGACGGTAAAAACCAATGGTTGGAAACAATTGGTGATATGGCTCAAAATCGTTCTCAATGGCTGGCGCAGATGCATCCATTCCTTTTAACCTATGATTTCCAATGAAACTACATTATTCTTCGTTACTTTTATTACTTTGTCTCGCACTTATGTTTACTGTCTCTACTATGCATTTCTTCTACCTTTTTCTCTTGTTTTGTGTGCTACAAGGAGGGAGTGTGGCGACTTGAACTGCCGCATATCGATGCAAAGTTCTATGTCGAAAACAGACAGACTAGAGCAATATTTATAAGCAGGTATTAAGCAATTACGTTATAAAAAAAGCGATCGGCATTTCTCAGCTGTGTTAAATACCTTCTTTCAGTGGTAAAATAGCAACCCGAATAAGCAGGAATAAGTATCATCTGAAGCGAACTGGTTTCAAATTAAAAATTTAGTGTTAGTGACATTTTTCAACATAAATTATCGTTCAAGCGTAGTTATGACATTTAAGAGACAAGATATGGGTTATACGGTACGTCACTAAGTAAAGGTGATAATGAGTACTGCCCATTTAAGGAAAAATTGTAATTTAGTTTCAAGTTAGTTAGGGACTTCTGTTCATCGGTAAGTTTACCATGACTCTCAAAGATGAAGATGTAGATGCAAGTTAATTACTCATCTTAACTCCGTTCAGACTCTTGAATCTTCCTTCCCATATTGTAGTTAAATTTCAACAGCGAACTTGATTCAGCGGCATTTTTTCATTTCAAGAGTAATATAGATATACCAGAGAATATCACTATCATTTTAAAAGTTATATTGATTTCAAAAGCTATCAAGAGAATAATTGTTTATGCTAGAAGATACTGTATAGCGATAGGCATTCCTGAAAATTGTTGGAATATATTTCAAACCGAATGCAGCACCATATGTTCTTCATATCCGTTAAAGCGTATATATATTCGACTTTAAAATAAATAATACTGAAGTTAATAGAGGACTTAAATAACCCATCCATCATACTCTTTATTATTTGTCTATATATTGTATGCAGCAGTGGAGCCAGGTTAGGATAGACTGAAAAGAACTATATAAAGATAATATTTATTCGTAGAACCAATGAACATTTCCAGGAGATTCTAGGTAAGGAATTCCCTATTTATCGGCTACGATGTGTCATATAATAATCCCTTTGAGCACTACGTGACAAGGTTGAAATCTCACCATATTTCTTGGTGACCGGTAACTTTAAACCTTTTTGTAACACAACCATTTAAATCCTTCCTGAAATTTTTCATTCATTGTTGGAAAATGCTCATACAATGTACTAACTCTGTAGGTCCTAGCAGGGAGATTGTGGAGTCAAAAAGCATATGGTTTTCTCCAAAATGATGGACATTGAGCTTTCATTTTGCTTAGTCTTGCATGTCCACGAAAGACCTGCATACACTGTTTATGCACTTTTGGGGAAGTGTGTATCGTCAATAGTGTATTTATACATTTCTTCTTTCTGGGCTACGAACAACCTTTCCTCAAGGCGTGTGTGTGTGTGCTAACAAGTAACAATTGGATTTGAAGTTATTCTTACTATCAGCAATTTGTAAATCTCGCCAAATTGATTTCCCACTCCTTATAGCAGTGTCTTTTTTGCCAGTCGCATATGAAACGGTATGACTTTTTACGGATCCCATAATACAAAAATTCTTCCTCAATAAACATCAAATTTCTACTTTATGCAGTAGCAAGTACATCAAGAAGTTAAGATATTCTGGAATAACCCAATTTCACCTTTAGGCATAAATCTGACCTAAACAAACTGGTTAGCAGTCACGAGGTGTGCAACATAGATGGCACTGAAATAGAAACGAAATCGGAAGTTAAATATCTTGGCGTCATTGTATCTGCTAATCTTTCCTGGTCGTCTCATATCTTGATGATTTCTAAGAAAATAAGCCGTCTTACCTTCTACATCAAGAAGTTAAGACATTCTGGAATAACCCAACCCTTACTCTTACGATTCGTTAACTCTTGCATCCTGCCTATTATTCTCTATTGTTCCCTCTTAGTTTTCCTGGGCTACTGAAGAAAAACTATACCTTATTACGCAGGATGTTAAAGGTTGTCAGCAGGGTAAGCAACGGGCCACTTAACCAGCTTGTTGATATTCTGGTCGACAGGCACATGGAATCATGTGAAAAATAGGCTAAATCCATTCTATCTGTCTAACTCACACCACGCTCTTCATTCACAACTCTCCCCTTGTATCTCATCAGGCAAAACCATAAGCCTATATAGGAAACTATATGTTCACACTAGTAAATACAAACACTCAACTATGCCCTACTTAGCTCGTGTTCTGTGCGATAAAGAAAGCATTAGGCGCGATACCTATAACTTAATAAATAGTCAGTAGAACAACTGGATCTCGTCTTTCCAACTCAAATCATTTATAGGTACAGCGTTTACTTTCCTTTTCTTTTTCCCTCTTTTCTTCTGTTATGTGCTGCTTTGTTTCTTTCTTCCTTACAAACTCTACTTGAAACACTCTTCTTCGTTCTTTCACACTCTGCATATGTCGACCTTTTTGTTGCCGCTTACGACAGTAAACATGCTAGTAGTATCTACTTTTCTAACACCTTCAAACACTGTTCAGTTTTGGGCTTTGCTACCGACATGCCAATATGTTGTTGTCATAACTAACTGAGATTACCCATAATCTATGTAGAACTTTATTTATTGGTAATGTACCAACTGGATGCAATACTGTAGTGAAATGATGAGAATTCCATTCTGTATCACAAGTACAGTTTTGGAATAAAGCAAACTATTATTGTTATTATTATTTACCGCTTCATCGACACTGTCATCATCAATGCAGACCAAAAGACAAAAAACTCTTGTCTGCCACCAAAATAATATCAATTATGGCCATACTAAGTGTATTGGAAAGTAAGATCTCACAATTTTGCAAGAGCGCATGTCTACATCTCATTAATACGTGAGAATTACTTATAAATTATTAAGGAAAACGGTTACACAACCTTTGTGTAAAATAATATTATGCGTTTTTTAAAAATTTGAAATCAACTGAAATAATAGGATGTTATTAAACAAAACAAAAAAAGAAATAATGACTAGAATCTGAAGTCAACAATGTGTAAATAATATATACATCGATGCATACATTTGATATCACGCTTTGTTTATTTATTTAACCGTTAAAGGAAATGGCTCAGGTAGTGTTCCCCCCTCAACATATACTGATTTCAGCTGACTATAAGCGAGTAATGTGTCATAGGAATTTTCTCGACCAAATCCAGATGCTTTATAACCACCAAATGGAATACCTGGTGGATAAACATTAAAACTGTTAATATACACTGAACCAGTTTGTAATTGTGATGCTATACGATGTGCAGTGGTTAAATTTTGTGTGAATACACCACCAGCCAAACCAAATTCACTAGAAGTATAGAAAGTTCAACGTAAAAGCATTAGTAAATAGTGTTAAAAGGAAAAGTTACAATCAAATATTTACCTTTAATAAATATTATTATTATTATCTTGTACCCCCTCTCAAAGTGTGTCGGTTTTACAGCGGTAGGATGCCCACCGACCACGCCCCATGTGGTACGGGGTTCGATCCCCGGACACCGACGTACTCCTTTACCTCGCTAAGCCAGTAATAAGACTGGTAAAGAGCGAGGTTGGACATGAGACTAGCAACCCCACCCCGTAAAAATAAACACCACTGCTACTGAAACTTCAAGCCTGTAGCATGAAGCTCTATGTTCCACTGGGAACTTCAAGGACTAAAAAACAACTTCTCAATGAAACAACACAAAATAACTAACTAAGACGATCTACATTCAGTGCATTCGACTTGTTGCGATTTCTTAACGATAAGAGTAGCGGGAATATCAATGTAGCAAGTAGTAAGTGAATAAGATTGGCGTAAAAACAAAAGACTCAAGATTTGCACTGAAATGTAGTCAAAATAAATTTATGCAATTACTGTTATTATCTTTCAGTAACACATCTCCATTCCACTCGGTCTTCTCCTAGTATTATTATTATTTTCAGCTGGCTCCACGACTTCCTACAAACTACCATATCCACCTCTTATGCTCTATTCTATGTCAGCCTTGGGCACCTAACCTATCACGTCCTACAGTGTTTTCATTCAAAGACTTGGAGTGGAAAACCGCAGAACATTAGATTAGGGGGTATATATTCTGGTTGAGGTGCTCTTTGTGGTAGACACGTCAATGTAATAATTTCTAGTTAGTTTGCAAACTGTACATTATGAGAGAAGAATGTAATCTCAGCTCATTGTGAAATTATGCAAAAATACTCTCACTGGAATTCAAGTTGTGAAAGTCAGTAATAATAATATAGAAAACGTTGTAGCTTTTTCTCTGAGACTTAGCCTGGCCTTATCCACAGTAACAATTATTCCATTTTCAGTTATTGGTTTGTAGGGATTTTGTTTGATTGGATGCAGGATTTCATCATAAGCTGACATCGGTTAGAGAACCGTTGGAAAACCTGACAGCGCTGGACGGTTGTTTCGTCCTAGTTTGGGGCTCTTCAACATTACGCACACACCGAGATCCGAACCCAGGAACGTTCCGGTTACAAAGTGAGCCGTGAATTGGCAGAATTCGCGATTCATGCACCAATGGTTCGAGTTCTAGTGGCTGAATGGTCTACGAGCTCACCTTGTAACCAGAGGGTTCTAAGTTCGAACCCTGGCGGTGGATGCGTACTTCTGAAGAGTCCCGAGCTAGAACGAAACAGCTGGCTGTCCGGTTCTCCCTGCAGGTTTTCTAATGGTTCTCTAACTGATGTCAGTTCACGATGAGATTCTCCAACCAATTATTTTATTGTCGGTATTGACAGAGTCATTTGATTCTTAGAATAATAGTTGACCTAGACAAGAAAATAAATGTCTACTTAACGAATACAAACCTTTTATTTGCACGTTCTATCACTTCATTCTCTGTATCAAATGATAACAATGTTATTACTGGACCAAATATTTCTTCTTTTACAGCTTTCATATCATCATGACAATTAGTAAGGATACATGGTGTCATATAATTACCACCATTTAAATCGTTATTATCACCATCGAATTTTGGCTTTTCACCGCCAATTAAAAGACTGGCTCCTTCAGAAACAGCTGATTGTATATAATTGTGTACTGATTCTCTATGCTGTGGACTAATCAAAGCACCCATTGCAGTGGATGGATCAAATGGATCACCAACCAACATATTCTTAACTGATGCTTCAAGTTTTTGTGTAAATGATGCCATAATTGACCTGTGAAGAAAATAGTAAAAACCTGACGGTTTTATCAAGTTATTATATTATATACATATTGAAATATAAGAGAAATAGTTAAACTAAGATGCGCCACTCATACATCAAAAGGAACTTAAAGTACTTAGAATTTAGCTGGTTGATGGTGACTAGCAGTGGAATCCAGGGTACGCATTTCGTTCTATTTGGGACTCGTCTTCCAACTGGATGTACCTGCATTCCCCAGTGAGTGATGATGTTCCCACCGAGGCTCGAACCCAGTGCCCATAGTTTCAAACGCCAAAGCGTTATCCACTAGACCACTTGGGCCACGAGAGTCACCTCTTGTGCAACGGGTCATAATAATTATTTAATTGAATTTTGGATTCTCCCGTCGATTGAATGGAACGAAGTGCTCGGTATCAGGTTGACATGTCCGCTTCTTGTGCAGATGCTTCGAATATGTTCGGGCATGTAGTTAGAATTTAACTGGTGGGTGGTGACTAGCAGTGGAATCCAGGATGATCATTTCGTCCATTTGGGACTCGTCACTGGATGTACCTGCACTCCCCAGTGAGTGAATGATGTTCCCACCGAGCCAAGTACATCCAGATGACGAATCCCAAATAGGACGAAATGCGCATCCTGGATTTCACTGCTAGTCACCATCCACCAGTTAAATTCTAACTACATGCCCGGACATATTCGAAGCATTTGCACAAGAAGAGGACATGTCAACCTGAGACCGAGCACTTCGTTACAATCAATCGACGGGAGAATCTAAAATTCAATTAAATAACTTTAAGTACTGTTTTGAACGAAAATACAACTTCCATTCATTAACCAACGATTTAAATTTAGTTAAAATGAGGACCCACAGTGCCGAAATGGTAGTAACATACAACATAACTTGGGAGTTAATGCATTTTGGTTAGACCTGTGAAAAGATTACCAGTATATACTACTGAAAACAGGAGATAAGAATAGTCTAGTGGTAGACTCCCCATGGTATTTTAGCTGAGGTTAGTCTAAGTTAGTGTAGAACGGTAAGGGAAGGATTTAAATGCGTAATACAGAGAAATTCCATCGTTTTTTTTTACTGTACTGAGGGGATATTTGTAAACTGAGGTGAATAAATTTGTTCAATGAGGCTCCACAGTATAACACATTCTTCTGAAGGTAGCAACTTAACAATTTACTGTAAAACCAGCTAACAATATAATCCAAATATGTTCCGACTAGTTAGTGAGATGAATAAGAAATAAGCTGTATTTGCAGAAAATTTCACTTACATTTTATTATATAGTTAATTCTCTGTGAACCCTCTAGCTCGTATAATGTTGCAAGAGTCTTCAAATGTCACTAATAACAACTTCCTCTGGAAGTAAAACTTGAGATATTACCTTCCACATATATGTAGAAAATGTTAGATATGATAGGGAAGATTTGTAGCTCAGGTGGATGATTTTCATGTGGTTGTGTTCTCTGAGCTGGATAGGTAATTTGCGAAGCTTTCATCGCCCTACTAGGTAACATCTTCAGCGCATACTTCAATTTGAAGTGAGCTTTTACATTTCTTCACGAGTTTGTTAATCATCTCTCCTGGTGGCCTTGGACGTGATTGGTTGTTTTTGTGTATTTTCACACCTTCTAGGTTACTTGTATTGGAACTGATTGTTTCTTTGACAGCCCACAGGCATCAATTCGATTGGGACAACGTTCAAATATTAGACAGAGGAAACACCAAGAATGCTAGAGAATTTTTAGAAACCAGCCTGGTATTCCAGTGAATCATCAATCAATAGACACATAGAGATAGACAAAATTTATCAACCGATAAGAAAGAAACCTCACACACAAGGGGTCAAAGTTTAAGTCAAAGAAACAATCAGTTCCAATACAAGTAACCTAGAAGGTGTGAAAACACACAAAAACAACCAGTCACGTCCAAGGCCACCAGGAGAGATGATTAACAAACTCGTGAAGAAATGTAAAAGCTCACTTCAAATTGAAGTATGCGCTGAAGATATCTGCCTAGTAGGGCAATGAAAGCTTCGCAAATCACCTATCCAGCTCAGAGAACACAACCACATCAAAATATAGAAAATATTTCTTAAGAAGAGATATAAACACAGACTTCAGTAACTATCGCAAACCCCAGAGTTGCAGATATGTAACATTTTATCCAAATTAAATTCACTCAAAACATTGAATAATTAACGATCTGTTGGATCATTGATGAACCACAGTTTCATAGTAAGTAGAGTGCTTGAATAACAGTTTCAATCTCTTTCATATACCTTCTACTTATTATAGAATTCGAAATGTATGCAAATAACTGTCAGTTCGATGGGAACAATTTCGAGTAATCTGTTTTAGAAAGTATCGCACAAGGAACGGTGTGTCATTAACAACGGCATATATATATATATTGACCGGAAATCGATTTCTGCGAATAACCTTTTTCAGCCGGTGATATAAGTCAACCACCACCATTAGATGACCGGATCTGAGTTGAACTATTATCGTGTGAGTCAGTGGCACAACCGTTAGGACGCTCGCCAACCTAGCACATGGTCTGGGTTTCGATCCCCGGCCGATGCACACCTGATATCTATGGTCAGCCTGCAAAATTTGGGCTACCGATATCACTTGCTGAAAACTCCATGCTTGTACCAAAATACTCTGCAGAATCAAGCTATAATAAAATAAATTAAATAAATAAAAACGGGTTTAATTCAATAAACTTTAGTTCACTTGAAATTTCAAAGTTTAACATAATATGCCAAGTTTTTTTTAAAAACAAACGAACTATTGCTTGTCTTACTCACTGATGAACAAAGACACGAGCAGCATTTGAACACACTTGTCCTTGACTATAAAAATTAGCCATTAAAGCGCCTTTAACAGCTTCATCTAAATTAGCATCTGGCATTATAATCAAAGGTGATTTGCCACCAAGTTCAACTGTGCTTGGTACAATTCGATTTGCAGTAGCTTGAAGAATACAACGACCAGCTGCAGTACTACCTAAAAAAGTTTTTAAACATGACTAGATTTAATGGGGAAAAAATGAAACACTTATATTTTAACTAGAAAATCAGTGATTTAAGTATATACAAGGTGAACCTTTGAATCGCAACGTTTCCTGCTTATAAAGATGAAATGAATTAATAGTATTCACCTGTTAATGTAAAGACTACGTATGGTGGTTTATGCAAAACATGGCCTGAGGAGATCAAGGAGTATCAATAGCTCAATTATTCATCGTCTTTTGCACACAATGCATCAAGTCTGGGACGCATATGTGTGTACTGTGAGTAAGAGATGAATGGATACGATTTCGTCATTCGTAGGGAAAGCCATCAATAAATGTTGTGAAGAAAGAATGAAGGTACTGAAATCATCTGTTACACTGAACTGAGAAAATAAAAGTACAAATTTATTATGAGCACTATTATAAAGGTGAAGGAAATGTTAGATGTTCAGCATAGTTCAGCAAACACACGAATGCCTGATGAAAACGAAAATCAGTAATCTTATTGCTTCCCATTTAGTACTGCAACGATTCACAAATTAACATCGATGGTGTGATACACTTTTATAATATGAATATCTTTTTTCTACTGTCCTTGTAAGAGTTATAGTCATAGGGGATCAGATTCCGAAATGATATTAGGCAGGAGATTGGTTGATTTATTAAAATTTATTTACAACAATCTACTCACTATAACAGACAGTTGAGTGCTGGCTTATGTCTTGTCTCAAAGTATATGAAGTTTACTAATGAAGTAGAATCAGACGAGGGAACTCTAAACCTCTAAGATTGTCTTGTAAAAAGATAAACTGACGAGAAACTAAAGTTCACGATATGCAAGAAACTCAAAAATCCAAACAAATGTTTGAATTTCCAATCAGATTATCCAAAAAGAACAAAAGTTTGAGTAGCTTTAAATCTCGTTAACACAGCTAGAAACATTATAACTGATAATGAGGATATGGAGAACGAGATATCCAATATAAGATAAACTTTGACAGCAAATGGTTATCCGAAAAAGCAGCTAAATAATATTATCAATAAAAAGGCCGAGAGGGGTAAAAAGAAAAAGAAAAAAATCTTGGCTATGGACGATAGCCATTCCATATCAAAAGACAGCTGAACAACTTCAGAGAGTATTGCTTCATATAATAAAGTCTATTTCAAGCCCTCTAATTCTCTCAAGAAAGCTTTAGTGAATGTCAAGGATATGGTTCCCGAAATGACACAAAACGAATTAGGTCTGTTGCAAAATATTTTCAGAATGTGCATTTTGCTATATAGGGAAGAGCAGTAGACAGATGATGGTCGGAGTAAATGAACACATGCTGTGCACGAAACACCCATCTAGGAATGAAGTAGAATTAATTAGTCCCAAAAAAAAGACCCGCTGTAGGAATGCATGCTATAGACAGTGGAAATAAGTTCGATTTCGACATTGCCGGAATTCTAAGGAGAGGCTTTCTTTCACATAGAGAAAGACTGACCTCTGAAGCCTTGCATATTCTAAAGACATTAAATGCAGAGCAAACAGAAGAGTAACGATAGACTTATCACCTCTATATGACAGACTCTAATGAAGCAAAACAGATGAAAGAAAATACCAAGGTATTCAATCCTCCTATATTGTGACCACCGTGAAATATTATCATGTTTTGACCTTTTTTCCATGTAACAAACAACATGCACACACACACTCATACAGACAAATATGCATAAATAACACCTTGACATTAGTCATTGCAGATATGTTATGACTTTGCACTTTTCTATTGGTACAAATGTCAACCAACAAGCGAACTTCAAAGGGATTCACTTCAATTTGCGTAATTTTCTGACTGCATATTTTGATGATTGATAAAATCCGAATAATTCTGCTGGGGAAGCTGTGACAGTTTACACAGCAATACGTTCAGAAAAATCTTGTTTTGATTTTTTTTTCTTAAACACGCTGGGATTATTTCAAGTCATTTATAATGATTCAATCTGACTCAGCGTTCAAATTATGCCAAGAAATTCCTAACCTCCATGGTCTGGATACTTAAAATATGAATGGCTTTGCACATCAGTTATTCAGTGGTAAAATACTTGCCAACCACGAACGTAGTCGTCCAGTGTTGCATTCTCAGCTGCTACATTTCTAAATCTCGCTTAGCCGGTAGCAATCTAAGTAAAGAGGGAAGGTCGAACGTGAGCTTAGCAATCCCATCGCAAAATAAATCACTACTACTATTGAAACTTCATAGCTCACGCTTGAAACCCCATGTTCCACTGGGGACGCAAAGGAACAAAATAAAGTAATACTAAGCCTAGGCAATATCCTCTCAACTATACAGGAAGCATAGCTGATGTCAAAGCAATAATCAGGAAAGCAAGAGAGAACTTCATTACTTTGAAGTCAGTGTGGAAAGTCATTTGCACTGAGCATAAAGAACAACATTCAGATTGTTAATACTAATGTCAAATCAGTGATTTTATATGGTTAAGAGATTTGACGCAAGCGTCACCAAAAGCATTTCAAACAGGCTTCCGACTTTTGTCAATAGCTGCCTTCGCTCCATATTGAAGATCAGATGGTCCTAATGGATTAGCACCAAGGAATTGTGGAACGAACCATCCAAGAACCTATCGTGTAACAAATATGCAGATAGAAATGGAGATGGATAGAATACACACTGAGGAGACCGTTGAGCGACATCACACGCTTAGCAGGCTCTAAAGTGCAACCCAAATTGGAAACGACGAGTTGGGTATCCGAGGGTGATTTGGAGGAGATGAAGGCTTACGGGCAATCGTGAAGCCAGCCAAAAAGGACTGTATAGGAGAGGATGAAATGGAGTCATCCTCCGGAGGTCCTATGTTCCATTCGAAACCCAAAGAAATAATATTAATAACGAAAAACATTATAATAGTTACACAACCTGTAAAAGATACTTTTGAAACCAAATGGTGATTGATAAGCGTTTGTCCAAGTTCAGCACCTCCAAGGACAACTTGAAACAGATTTTCGGGGCATCCAGCCATTTTATACAACTCATATAGACGAACAGCTGTCAATGGAGTTAAATTGGATGGTTTAAAAATGAATGCATTTCCAGCTGCCAAGGCAGGAACAGATTTCCATACAGCCATCTAATTTACATTAAGGAAAAAATTTGAATAATATTATATGGATTGCGGTTAATTCGAAGGGTCAAACAATATCGCCTAAGGTTTTGAATCTTCTTCTGAAAATAGTATGATATTCCTTAAAATTACAAATTGAACCATAAACTCTTTTAATTCGGATGAAGTGCTGAGGTTTTGACTGACTGACTGATTTCAATGTAGAACCTTACACATATGTGCAGCGGTTTCAGTTGCCACACCCCCTCTACACAGTATTTCGGTACATATATGGAATTTTCAGCAGGTGATATCGGTAGCCCAAATATATATATATATATATATATATATATACATATACTAATGATCTGAGATAACCTTATCATCATTTCGCTCTTTTCCACTATGACTGTATTATGATTTGTTTTATTAAATGATGTAGGTTGCACGCAGCTGACGAGAACCAACTGTATATATATATATATATATACATATATATATATATATATATATACATATATATATATATATATATATATATATATATATATATATATCAGATTTCCATTATGCCTAATGCCTGAATGTAAATAACGGTAATTACCTGGAAAGGAAAATTCCATGCACCAATGCCAGCACAAAGTCCGAACGGTTCTCTTCTAGTATAGTAGAAACTAAAAAGTAAAATACACAATACAGTATGAAACACTATAAGGTTAATGGAGTGAAACGCATATTGCTATACTGAGAAACCATTCTAGATTCGTAGTCGATGCCTATTTATATAATCTATTCATTGTTCCAAATCTTAAGCAGTACGCAAGCAAGACCTATGCTTTCCCCAGTAAATGTTGTAAAGTTGTAGTCCAACAAATGTCATTCCCTTGGTCGCTTCTGCCATTTAGCCCTGAAAACCAACTTGCGTACACTTTATTCTCAACAGAATACAGCAAACTGATGCTAAAACCAAAGTACGGTTAACAAACCTTCAGTCAATTTCGCAATGAGTTCATGAAGCTAGCTAATTCACCAATGCGGTTCACTTTGAACTGATGTCGTAGTGTGTTTGGAGGTGAGTGGCAAGACGCTAGGGACCTAGACTGCATACTTATTGGCACAGACAATCAATCTCAAACTCAAATAAACCAGTTTTGATGCCTCAGTTTGCAGCGCTAAGGGAAATAAGCTCGAATTTCCAAGGAGTCAGTTTCCGTGAGATTGCTGACTCATAGTGATAATAAAAATAATTATCAATTATTCCTTTTACGTTGCAACTGGAATACATAGGACTTCAAGCTAGAGCTTTGAAGTTTCAATAGCAGTGGTTTAATTTTTACGGGGTGGGATTGCTAGCTAGTCTCATGTCCAACCTACCCTCCCCACTGGACTTACTTCCGGTTTGCAGAGGTTTAGGAGCACATCGACTGAGAATCGAACCTCGAACTATGTGCGTGATTGGCGAGCGTTCTACTACTGAACCATCGATGCACGACTCGTAATGGTGACCTATTATTTATTTATTTAAACGCATAAAAACTTGGTACAATATGGCACCAAGAAAGATGCACCACACAATAATAATAAAACAACATAGATCAAAAAAAAGAAAAAAATATAAGTATGGAACAAATAAAGAACTTCATCTGGAAGGAAAACAGTATTCGTTAACTATCATCGGGAAGGGAATAAAGAAGGAAATAGCAACATGTTCGCCAATGACTACGATTCTTGGCCATATCTGATAACGTTTTGAGCCATCAATTTGAGCTATCTCGTGGACCCCAACCAGGGAGTCGTGACACACCTACTGACGCTAATCTAGCACAAAAATCCTTCATCCCACGAGGCCACGTCATAGACTGACCACCTCTCCGCCTTTTCCATCCCGTCCCAGGGCCAGCGAACAGAGACCTGTACGAAAGCCTCTGGGATGACATTTGCAGCACATGACCAAGCCATCGGAGCCGGTGTTTCCGGATGACAACACTCAATGAATGGTGATCTCCACTGTGTTAAAACACACACCGCCGAACCTCAGAATTACTCACGCGATGATGCCATCGAACGCAAGCAATCCTGCGGAGACAGCGATGATCGAACACGCAGAGCCGCTACACATCCTCAGCCTACTCGGGGAGGCCAGGTTTCACAGGCGTAGAGCAAGACATCCCGCACCGAAGCATTTTATACCTGACCTTTGATAGCCAGACTAACATCGCGACGGCGCCAGAGGTGGCTCAATTTCATGTATGCCACCCTACTCTTCATTATACGGTTGAAAATCTCATCCGTCACCCCTCGGCCAGCACTCACACAACTACCCAGATACACAAACTTATCAACAACTTCAAGCAGTTCACCTGCAAGAGTAAGTGGAGGTACAGGCTTCTGCCAATCTTGTTACAGTACTTTGCACTTAGACGGCGCAAAGCACATACTATACTTACAGACACTGATCGCCAACTGATTAAGTGTGATTTGGGTAGCCTGTATGCTATCGCACAGTAAGACGATATCGTCTGAATACTCGAGGTTGAAAAGTCTATCTCCAGGTAGCAGATCTACACCACCTTCACGCACATCCTTCACAGCTGACTCCAGAATGTCATCGATGGCAAAGTTAAGGAGAAATGGGGATATTGGGCAACCCTCTATAACCCCACTGTTGGTTGGGAACAGTGATGATGGTTGGTTGTATGTATGTCCTCGCTCTACCTGAGGTGTTTCTGTATAGGGCTTCCAAGATGTTAATAAATTTCTCACGTACACCTCTCTCTAACAGACAATTCCAGAGCACAGTTCTGTCCAACGAATCGAAGGCAGCCCTAATATCAAGAAACACAATGATCGTTGGCCTGCAATACGTGTGGCGGTGTTCCAACAACTGACGAAGGGTGAACACATGTTCAATGCATCCACGACCTGAACGAAACCCAGCCTGCTCTTCACGAATCAATCCCTCACGTATCTTGCACAGCCTGCGAGGCATGACAGCAGCCAATATTTTAGACGCGACTGGTAGCAGACTGATACCCCTATGATTTTCACATGAATTACGTCGACCCTTTTTAAAGATAAGGACGATAATGGCTTCGTTCCACATTGATGGTATACTCTCTGTCTCCTATACCTTCCTGATGGTTACCAGTGCAAATAAGCCCAAAAACCTACGATTCAGACTTTAATACTAATCACCTCCAGACACGCAGTATATATATATTCACTCTTCAATATTTTGCTATATTGCTTACCAAGGTCGTTGTATTCATATTAATCTACTATTTTAATGAATATCAAGCAGGTGCACTTCAGCATCCACTATGCAAAGATGTCAAGTCTTACTTGAAATAACATCTAACTATTCGTAGTAAACAAACGTGGAAATTCTCTACTTCAACAATATTACTGGTTAAATGGGAAACAAATAACAAGCAGCAAAATAACACAGAAATATGTTATATAACCTGCCAGGATTTGGTGGAACAGGAACATGAACACCAGTAAAATTTGGAATGAAGCCAGCAAATAATTCAAATGAATCAGCACATGCTTCGATATCTGCCCGAGCCTCCCAAAGGGGTTTAGCAGTATCCAGTGTTTCTAATTCGGAAAGCCAACTTGCTTCATTACGAATAAGATCACCCACTTTCCGTAGACGCTAAAATACATCATTAGAAGATTATGAATATATATATATATATATATATATATATTTGTGGAAATGCCGAAACATCCCTGTAAAGTGTTCAAAATGTACTACACATTTTAGTAAGAAGCTAAAAGACGGGATGGAGCCGGTAGGTGTGACTTTATTCAATGAATGTATCTGTCCATCAGAATGATTAGAAAATATGGACAAATTAAATACGCTAATCTGTAATAACCTACAATCTAACACAATTCACGTTTATAACCGTACACAAAACATATAAAACTTTAATTAATGCAGCAGTGTGAATGATTTTCCTTAGTAGAAGCTACAAAAGCCAGAGTCACATATACTGACTGTGTAGCACTCCAATGTTATTATGTGCGTCGGTGGCACAGTGGTAAGGACTCTCGCAGACCATGCATATCGTCCGAGGTTCGATCCCCTGCCAACGTACTCCTGATATCTATGGTCGACCTGCAAAAATTGGACTACCGATATCCATGCTGAAAATCCCATACTTGTACCAAAAATACAGTGCGGAATCAAGCTGTAATCAAAAAAATAATGATTTTCTTTGTATTCATAATATATAGTAAAAATGATTAAACTGAGTAACATACCTTTGCACGTTCTAAAAGTGGCAGATCAACCCATTGTTTTTGAGCTTTACACGCATTAACCGCCATCTCATCCAGTTGTGAACTAGTAGTTGGATGGTAGCGTACTAAAGGTAGTTGTGTCGAAGGATCATAGCAAGTGTATTCATAAGTGAAACATTCATCTGATGTACTTTTGCAATTCGACTTCAATGGTAGATCATTGTTAGATAACCAGTTATGTAATCTTTCTACAGCTAGTTTATGATGCTCTTTAACTGAATTGGTACTCATTGGAAACTGTTGACATTTAATTGCAGATGTGATAAGCCTAGAGAAATAATGATATCCACTGGTGGGGGTTTTATAACTTAAAACTTTGTAAATCGATATCTGCAGGAGATAAAAGAGAAAAAGTGGAGGGCAGCTGCAGTGAGTATTTTTAACAAATCAAGCAACAAGTAAAACTCAGTAAAATCAAAAGTGAAAACATCATTTCACCGTTGAAAAATCTTCGAAGATGGAAACATATTATACACATCTCAGTTATTCACCAAGAAAAGCACAAGACCCAGAATCAGTGGTCTCTGGTTCCACAAGATATCTGTTAACTGACAGAGGAAATCAGAATCTATTCAAATGCATTTGGTGATGAGCTAAACCGACTTGTGTGAGGGCTGATGATACAACCTCGGTATATGGAGCGCTATTCGGACTTGTGACCCAATTATTCGAAGTCAGATGCCTAGACCATTCAGCTAGAGATCTACAATTTATACACTGAAAACAGATAATAAGCAGTCTATCATACTACAACCGCCGAATACAGACTACATGGAAAAGCAACTCAGAAGGTTTTAATATACCATATATATAAGCGATTAAAATCCTGATTTGATTACAGAATAATTTAGCTTATGTCATCTATTAATATACGTCGTTATAAAATAAAGATAAACAGATTAACACATTATCACTCCACTAGTGGGATTATCTGACACCATAGTGTTGTGAATACCCAAACAGAATACTACTGAGATTTTTCCCTACTGTACGTTCCATATTAGTTTATTTTGCTATACGGATAACACAATGAAACACTTAATTATGAACAATAAGTAAAGTTTAAAACGTCATCCAGAAGACACTGTGTGATCCATATAAATAAACAAACATACGAAGTTACATACTATTACGGTGTCTAAGTTTCACACACACATATATATTAACCTATTGTACTATCTTCATCTAAAAAATTATATTGATGTGATTTTCCCCGTTTACTGGTCCGTTTTAATCAACCTTACAAGCTTTGTTTCACAAACACTCTTCGTCGATTAAAGGATATGTTAAGTGTTTGGATAAAATCTAAAATTGGTATACTTTCACCAAGCCGATTTTTAAGTTTTCTATTTTTTTTTCTTAAATTTATAAAACACACGCTAAACCTTCTGCAGTGTTAAGAGTAAACCGTACATCTTCTAGGACGACAGTTTCAACGAAAATTATACTCTCTGATCCTTAACTATCTTACAGTTTGTAACTAACAATTATGCTCCAAAGTTTTGCGCATTATTTCAACAAAAAATGTCCCACAAAAATTACGCGAAATGGGTATATTCCAACAGCCTCAGTTGGCTTGTGTCTCAAAATTCCTTCCTCAAAAACTTTGACTTTATCAGCACAATAATTAATTATCTCAAAAGAATTACATAGTTGTGCTGTTGAACCTCGAAAGATGATTTTAAAACATAGTTTAAAGACTTTTTGATGTCTTTTCTGTAGACGGACAGTAGATGAAAATATTCTATAACATGCCATTTAGCTTCATTAGGTAATAAAATTCTTAAAGAAATTTTCAAAATGACTAACTAATTGTAGAAAAAGGGGCACATGAAATGACACTTATAACTGGTGTCCAATCAAACTATCCAATACAGTTAGTCTTACAGGAGGTCAATCGTGAGCCCGAATAGCGTTTCAGGCTGCAGCACTGGATGGTGAGGGTTCGAATCTCAGAAGGGACGTGAACTTCTTCACGGTTACAGATACGCCTTGCTGACCGGTGACTGCCAACTAGCACGAAACCTATATCCAAGGCTTCCTGCCGATTGCCTTCAACCATCTAAAAAGGTTATTTGTTTAACCGATGATATAGAATCAATCTAGTTGCACAGTTAAATTCAATTCAAAGTTAAATATGTAAACCTATAATTGACAACTACTCTATAAACCCAAAATTCTAACCAGTCAATACACGCTACACAAGAGAAGGTGTTTGAGTGATGCCGCACTTAAGTGAACAACTTTTGTCGAACAAAGACCATAAAAATGAAGCATCTATGAACATGTTTGGTAATATGTCTCATCAGTTTTATCGATTCAGACATGCTTTGACTGGTTTTCACTATTGTAACAGATACAGAATGAAGTAGCTTTACATTAGTATTATCATTATATACAAATATCGTTACCTCAAAATAAAAATAATTAGAAAGAACAATTTCAAGGAAGCGGATAATAAAAGGGTTTGTCGAACATGCGCTATCAACGTGTCATATGCAATTTATTCAGCTGCATTTTACAAATACTTATCAGTGATCTCATATAACATCGATAGGATTGTTCTCCAAGTAATAGATACGTTTCCACACTCCAGAAACAAATGTGATTATCCTTTGGATAACTGTTATAGTGGATACGACTTCAGCCTAACTTAACAAGGCCACGGGATAATTTGTGTGTGCACTGACTCAAATATCCTTAAGAAATAACTTACTCAAGCAGGAATTCGATCTGCCTGGTTACAGGATTTCAACATCAGCTTACATCGGTTAGGGGACCATCGGAAAACCTGGGAGTACTGTGTAGTTGTTTCGTCCTAGTTTGGAACTCTTCACCAGTACGCATCCACTGGGTCACGCCACATCGTGAAATGGCAGAAACTGGAATTCATGGACCATTGGATCGGTGCCCAATGGCTGAATGGCCTACAGGGTCGGCTTGTAACCGGAAGGTCCAGGATTCGAACCCCAGTGGTTATGTGCCGATGAAGAGTCCCAGGCTAGGATGAAACAGCTGTCCAGTAGCCCCGATTTTCCAATGGTTATCCTACCGATGACAGCTCATGATGAAATCCTGTAACCAAATAACTTACTGTTTAATGAACAAACTATAGTCGTGTAATGTTAGCTATAAATATTTGCATATCACTGGTGAAATGATTCTTTAAAACAAACGTCGTCTGACATACATTTATTCAAAACACTATTATAATCAGTCAACAAATAACAGATTGTGGAGAAACACTGATTTATACATTAGGTTTCATGTTTATTTATTCGCACACAACAACAACAACTCCATATAGTACAAGAAGGCAAGAGGAAAATAGGAATTCAAAGGAACCATAATGAACGGAAACGTACGGCAGAAACAATAAGTATACAGAAAAAAATGACAATTTGATAAATCTAAGAGATCACGCAGAGTGAATTCGTCTGCGCCACTGAGAACAACTACCCCAGTCAGACAGTCAACATCTGATATGGTTGACTGAAAGCAACACTAAAAGATATTATGGATTGATTAAAGGCTCTAATCTGGTCACCACTAACTTCCGACCTAACCATATATCAGCTAATAGTCCTTAACGAGGAAGGCTATGGCTACACACACCCGTAACACGTGATCTAGCCATCTCAGTCGATCTAGCTTCACAAAATTATCGACTCCCTTGCCCACCTTACCTAACACTCTACGCCTAATCTCAACATTACTCACCATGTTATACCATCTAACACAGGAGACAACATCAACTGAGAGTGTGATGAGAGCTGTTCGATAGCCAAAATTTTTAGGTAGCAATTTACGTCAACGTTTACGACCCAAATCTTGGTCACGAGAAAAAAAACAAAGACTAACTCGTTGGTGCATGGTGACTATCAGTGGAATCCAGGATGCGCATTTCATCCTATTTGGGGCTCGTCATCTGGATGTACCTGCATTTCTCAGTGAGTGATGATGTTCCCACTGAGGCTCGAACCCGGTGCCCATAGTTTCAAACGCTATAGCGTTATCCACTAGATCACTTGGGGCAAGAGAGCCACTTCTTGTGCAACGGGTCATGTTAATTTAATTGAATTTTCGATCGTCAAAGCATCTGTACAAGAAGCCGACATGTCAGCCTGAGACCGAGCACTTCGGTCCAATCAATCGACGGGAAAATCTAAAATTCAATTAAAAGACTAACTCAACAACCAATAACAGTACACTTTGCGTGGGCGGATACGATTCGCAGATATATGGTCTGACCATCAAAGAAACAGCCACAAAGAGATGACAGAATAACTTCCATTGAGAAAACAGCCAATCGGAAGACGCAGTTTTTTCTGCTAATTATAACCAATAATAATGTACACAAAAATCTATAAATATCTGTTGATATTCCCAACAAACGATTTGTTGCCTGGCCCTCGTCTTCTGTCGTCGTTGCAAGAGTAATTAAAAATAATTCTTTCTGAACACTAGTGTAAAACAGGTCCCAGATATTAATAAAACTTAATTAACATCCGTCGCTTATTTATGGCGACAATAATCTTTCCTGTGTGTGTGTGTGTATTGGGTTAGAAATGTCAACTAGTAGAAATGAGTTAAATATCATACCTAAAAGCAATTGACTTGATCCTACGAAGAACTGCATATTAAAACCTGGAAGTTCATTCCAGCAAATATTAAATACGAAAAACAACCATTTGTTCATTTTTTAAAAAAGGTACATTCAGAGTTACAGCATAAGCAGCAGACACGGCGACAGAGAGAGAGAAAGAACATGATACAAATAAGTATTTTATTTATATACATCTACTGACCATAACAAAAATTGTGACTGTACTGTACATTAAAACTGTGAAGTTATTATGTTTAGGTACGCCTTTTTATATATATACAGTATACCAGTTCAGAAATACAAACTGGTAATTAATACTCACTCTCTTCGCAATGTACAGAATATTGTTGTAATAAAAGTGAAGAAAACAATGATAGATAGGAGGATTTCAGAGATTGAAATCATCAGTCTACCATTCAGCAGCAACACGACTAAGCTCTAGTGGATTATGATCAGACAGAAAGATTAATTCAGCTCGGCCATTTGGTGTAAAAACAGCAGGATTTGTTAGCCATTGATTTTCTGCATAAAATCTCAGCATTGCATCAATTTCTGATGGAGTGTAATTTTCAACAAGAACAGGAACAAACGGATCCATACATTCAAATCCAGATTTTCCCAATAGGTAACTAATTTGAGTTTTATGGAGACAAAAAACAAGAAATGTAAGACAGTCTCTATCAGGATATCATTAATACATTATATTATAAATAGAAGAAACATAAGTAATATAGTCAGTATCACTACTTATCCTCATTAGAGTAAAAATTCTTAATTTCAATTAATCTCGTCAATTTTGTCATATAAAAATCGGGTCCCAGTGGCTGAATGGTATACGAGCTTACTTTGCAACCGGAAGGTCTTCGGTTCGAACCTGTGTGGTGGATGCGTACTGCCGATGATTCTCAAACTAGGATGAAACAGCAGCTGTCCAGTACTCCCTGGTTTTCAATGGTTCTCTAACTGATATCAATCCGTGATCAACTCGTATATATATATATATATATATATATATCGATTATTCAACAAAGTGGTAAAGTAAAGAAGTATACACACGTTTCGAACAGAACTATGCAGTAATTAAATATGCTACGTCGATATCCTGAGGGGTTGGTGGTACAACGGTTAGGAGGCTCGCCGACCACGCCCCATGTAGTCCAGGGTTCGATCCCGGCCGACACACTCCTTTACCTCGCTAAGCCAGAAATAATGCTGGTAAAAAGGAAAGGTTGGTTATGGGGCTAGCAAAACATTCCTGTAAACATAAACACTGCTAAAGAAACTTCAAGTCAGTAGCTTGAAGCCCTATGTTCCACTGGGAACGTGAAGGAAAAAAATGCCGATATCCTACATCAAAATCGGATGATCTTATTGATCACTAACGTGCTTGTAGTAAAAACCAATTCCTAATTGGCTCAAAATCTGGTGATACCTCATGACAACTAGTGACTATTTAATAAAATGAAAACATAAAGAAAATTTATCATTTCAAAGGTTTTCGTAATGTTTCACCCCCCTCCTCCTCCACCAACCTAACATCCGGTTCTGAAAATTACTTTCAAACATAGTGACAAACAACCCTCGACTTATGGCTTTGGATTAGTACTGCTACTGCTACTACTACTACTACATGGTTCCAAACTAGTCAAGTGAAACAGATGATAACACTGGTGGGAAACAGCACTTTAATACGCCTGATAACGTTCATTTCCATGACCTTAAGAATAAAGTTGGTTTCGTATTCTGCAGCAAAATGAGACCTCTTTTCTAATGGCCTCTTCAATCATAAGTTCAAACATAAACATAAGAAACAGTCAGTTATGAAATAAATTGTTATATCATATAGTTCAATATTGAAATGAACAGTTCATATAGAGAGAGACAGCCTTCTCATTCCTGTTCAAAAAAATTGTATACATATGTTAATTTAACGAGAATGTACAGAATCCTAGAAGCATGCTCAAAGACACAAGGTGGGATAATGACACTCGATGACACTATCTCAAATAAATCGTGCCTTGATGTCTGTAGCTCAGAGAAACGCTTTTCATCAACATTATTGATATAAGTACAAAACTTGGGCACTGTGGTAGAGTATGACTCCATTATGGATAAGATTTTATTTTGATAAATCACACAGTGTTATATAGTAATATTAGCTGATGACATTTCGAGCACAAAATATTGCTCATAATCGTATCAAGTTCGTATCATATCTGGAACTTGCAGATGTGACGGATGAGATCTCTAACCGTATACTGGAAGGTAGGGCGGCATACGCCAACTTGCGCTAGCTCTGGCGCCGTCGTGACGCTAAACTGGCTGTTAAAGGTCCTGTTTACTATACACTGGGGTGCGCCCTACGTCTGTGAAACCTAGGCTCTCAGAGCTGAGGATATGCGGCAACTTTGTATATTCGATCATCGTTGTCTCCGTATAATTGTTTACATTTGGTGACATCATTGTGTAAGTAATTCTAAGGTCCAGCAGTGTGTTTGGATACAGTGTAGATAGTCCTTTATTAAGTGGCTTCAGTGCCTTCGACATGTACTACGAGAGTCATGTAAGAGGTTCTCATCGCTCTTAGTGTTCGCTAGCTCTGAGACTTGATGGGCAAAATGGAGGAGTAGTCAAGTTATGACAGGGCACCGTGGGGACAGACAATAGTTGTGTTGGGGTAACATCCACTGGAGCATCACGACTCCCTAGCTGGGATGTCGAAAACAGACAGACAGACAGACAGACAGCTGGGATGCGAGCGACAATTCGACTTGGTGGCCCGTGACCTTATCAGATATGGCCAAGATAAGTAATCAGTGGCAAACATTCTGCAATTTCCTCCTTTCTTCCCTCACTGAAAGTAACATGAAGCAATGAGGTATACTTTGAATGACCTTCACAAGTATATTTATTTGCTTTCTCGATAATATCCTAATTTATTCTAGCCCTATTTTCTTTATATATTGTTTTATTTTTATGTGGCGGACCTTTTAGTGTCAGTATTGTGCCAAGTTTGTGTTTTAATAAGTAACGTAATAATAATAATAATAATAATAATAATAATGGTCATCGGTGAGATATTAGTCTAGAGTTTACTCTGTAAACCATGTGACAAGACAAAAAATGATGTGAATCTGAAGTTAGACTGAAATGCATATATGTCAACTAAAATAAAACTAACATTTTCATATTCCTCAAAATGTAAAACCTTCAGTGTTCATTTGTCCAAGTGTTTAGAAATTGCTTAGAGCAATAGTCAACTAACTTGAATTATTCTTGCAAGTAAAAAATCTTCACGCTAAAAAATGTTCTCATTGTAAATCCTTTTAATTTACTAGAGCTAGAGCTTTAAGTCAACACACTTGCGAGAAACCTAAGTTGTTAAATTTTAACGAAACTTAATTTCTAAAAATGAAACACTAGGATTTTAACTAGTGACGATCTATAAATACAAATAGATAGAAAACAGCTCCCCCCTTTACTTTCCAATCCTAACTTTAAACAACCATTACAACTGTATCATATAACCATACTAAGAAAGTCAATGAAAATCATATTTGGAAATTTTACAAATACACAAAACAAAACGAAAACCAACAGCAGAAATATTACACGATAGTCACTTACCCAGGAGTGTACTGTTCTCTGTCTGTAGGCCAGGATGCACGGATATTAGTTGACGTGACTATAGCACCATGACGCCAATCTCCTTTCAGTGCACGTTTTAAATGGTGCACAATAGCTAAACGATCTGTGGTAATCCGCTTACAAAGAGTTTTATCGTGCAACAGAGTTCCTCGACACCACATAAAATTCACTCCATCAATGACAAGCAAACAAGGTGGGCCATCAGATGTTGATGAAAGAGAACGCATCTAAAAGAGTGGTTAACATTATTTTAAAATCTGAAGAATGTTAGAAATAAAAGCTGACAAAATAAACTTTCTGTCAACAAACTATAAGCAGCTACTGTTTCAGCCAACAGTGGTAAATGGAAGCATAAGCTATTCCACATCAAGTGATGTTTAACTTGTCATCTCTGACTATAATTGGCTAGGAGTCGTCCCAGGCAACTTATGCTTTTAAAACCTTGGAAACTATCCTCATTTGGAATAACAAATTTGTTACAGAGTGTAGTCGTATAACTTTCAACCGCTTTTGTGTCCCACTTAATAACCAGGCCTAGTACAACCAAGAGTGGGCAGACTTGGATTCCTCTCAAAATGCTCTCATGTGGCTACTCACTCACAGACTCTGCCAGGCAATTCCTATCCACTGCCTTCGCAAGGGTGATCCTCACAAAAGTGGAAGGGCGAATACGAACGTCTGGTGCTTACGACAGGATTGGTGGGCATGCAGATCTACCAAGAGGGCCTGGAAAACACTGCTTCCAAACCTACGGTGTACATGACCGCCAAAATCTGATTAGATCGAGTGACATATGCACCTGGTTTGGTCACTAGCAACCATGGGGCCGCAGCTCCTGAAGCTGCTCCACTGTCTTGTAGAAGGGACTTCAGGTCAAGGGTTCAGAGGTGGTCCCTTAAGACAACCACCTACATCGGCACTCAGCCAGTATTCCAGCCATTGCACAAACTTATGTGTGGCGCATCTCTTGGTGACCATAATGTAACAAGTTTGCGCTCTTCATTAAGAATAGTATTAACCGTTAGTTTGGACTCATCTAAGACAAATTATTATTTATTATTATTTCCTTTAATTCCTAGAGGAACATAGGGCTTCAGCCGCGCGTCTACATCAGGTTCGGTTCTCTGACAACGCTTTCACCCCTCTCCAAGTCTGCCCACATGCTTTCATCTCTTCATATGACCTCCTCCATGTCAACCTCACAATGATGATCAACTCGCCACTTCCCACTCGGGTTCCACTCGAGCAATGGCCTATCGTGTGATGTCACTTGATGGTTTGCTTTCTCAGAGTATGGCCGATCCTCCTCCATTTGTTCCTGCATATTTGTTGCACAATCGGTTCCTGATGGAATGATTCGCTCATTGTCAGAGATCCATCACTCTCGCTGATCTTTTCTGTCCGGCCATCTGAACTTGAGTAGTATTGAGGGAAGGCAGTTGTTTATGAAGGTCTGTAGTTTGTTTGAGGTGCTCTTTATGACGCGCCAAGTCTCTGATCCGTATATTAGCACTGATTTCACATTGGAGTTGAAAATCCGGATATTATTTCGATGCTGAGTGCTGTTGACCTCCACACAGACTTAAGAGTAATGAAAGCTTGTCTTGCTTTTCCGATTATCCTTGCTTTGATATCCTCGTCAGTTCCGCCTGTAGTTGAAACGATGCTTCCCAGGTAGGTAAAGGAGGTTGTTTCTCTCAGGTTACTCCCATTTATGCTGATTGTTGCATAAATGGGAGGAACCTGAAAGACTCTGCCAAGCAAATAAGGGAGCACATATAGCAAATACCATCAACTTGTTAAATCTGCAGTAGCCTATCACCTACATTTTATGTGGCACAATAATAATAACCCACAAAAGTAGAACAATTCCAGTTAATGATAACCAAAGGTGCTTGGGAGAGCATTAAAACAACTGAATGGGATACATTATTTTTAGGATGATAGTCTGTAGAAAAATTGATCGAGTTCGAGACATTTTATCGAGTCTCGGTGATCAAATGGTTACTATGAATACACAAGAACCCATGACATTTATTATTATTTAGACCTATGATTTTAAGGCATATCGACAGAATTCATTCGGCTTTTGACATTCACACATGTCGTTAACCAGTAGTCACATAGAGTTATTTTCTTCATCTCAGGGTTTATCTGTACTGTACATTTAGCTCTAGGATGTCACCGTTGTAACCCGAAATGCCAGTATCTTAAAACTGGAAAAATGTTTCATAATTGAGTATAAATTCTCGTCTTGAACTTCTTTTACGGAGTTGTGATGCATGGGTTCTTAGGTGAAAATCCAGTCCCACCCACAAATCTTTGTATAGCCACGTTATCGACTGATCAGTATAGTTTTGTCTAGTACAGTTCTCAGTAATAGCTTGGGATATTCATTTTCAGAAGGCTTACCAGTGAACAGACAACCGTTTACATTCAAACTTACTTTCGACATTGATTATGAGATTGTAATACTTTTAGTAAACCAAATATATCTTAGAAGTCATTTCAATAAGACCTCAGTGTTTTCATGATATGAGTGACCTAGAGGTACCGACCGCCTACGCGCCCCTATCGGCACATAAAACTGGATAATATATACAACTAAAGCAAATATGAACAACAAGTTGTATCGTCAACAGAATTGAATGCATTACCTCTCTTAATAAAATCCCGATACAATCTGTTGCATACTTGACCCTAGCAACACCAAAATTGATCAAGTCTATCCAAGACGTTCCTTCACACATTACATCTTTTTTAGTCCATTCTACTTTTCGAGATATGACTGGTTTTACCTAGAAAGAGAATAAAAGAGGTACACAAATAAAGTTTTGACCTTCGAAGATTCAACTATAATCTTAACTATAACTATAAGAAGCAAATTAATATTTCGAAAACAAGAAGTCACCATCCTACTAATTAACTAATTAACTGTAAAACTTGTGCATGTATGATTCAAGGCAAAATGAGCAATTAAATATGGTACATTTTTCAAAAAAGCATCCGAACTCAGATAAATTTAAAAGTTAAATATAGTTCAGTTAGTGACCTATGTGGGCGACAACATGAAATAAACACCATAAAAAGTAATACGATGTAACGAAACAAGAGGCGTAATCTTCCTTTTTAATTGTTGAAAGTATGAGAACTACAGGAATCAGACGATAAAAAATGCTTGCTTCTAAATATATAACCTTTTAGTTTGTCTATCTACCTATCATCTTCATTAAATGGAGTCAGTAACAAAGGGAAAGAATGCAAATACATACTACTTTTCTTAGTTCTAGTTTATTCAATCCAAGTTGGCACACACCAGAACAGTAGTAAGAAAGTGTCTAAGATCATTTAGTGCGTTAATACAAGTGTATATAAAAACGTATATAACAATTAGGTGATGAATAATGAGGCGACTACAACTTCAAAATAGATAGGAAATTGGGTAATTAATGACACCAATTTTGCGTCACAACAACTACATTTTCCATTTAGTGATGTCGACTAATTTATGGACTGCTTTCAAAAACCCAGATGTTCCAATGAAAAAACAATAGCAACATTAACTGTGAGCAGAACACAGGGCATCAGCAGCTACTGATGAAAGTATGCAGCAACCTGTTGAAAATGTTTTAGCTGACGGAAGTGTCAAGTCTCTGAACCATGCAGAAGCACCGAGTTGACATTAATGTCAAAAATTAAGGACTTGTTCTTTATTCTGAATGCGGTGCATCTGTACACTAATTTTACAGTAATGAAGATCCTTTTGGATCCTGACTTCGACACACACACACACCCTAACAGTGCTACCTGTAGTTGAAACAGTGCTGTCCAGGTAAGTCTGTCTGTCTGTCTGTTTTCGACATAGAACTTTGCACAAATGTGCGGAAGTTCAAGTCGCCAGACTCCGTGTAGCACGCGAAGCAAGCAAGAGAAGAAAGTACAAGAAAAGCATAATAGAAACAGTGAGCAGAGGTGTGAGACAAAGGAGTAATAAAGAAATACAAAACAGTTTCATTGAAGATCATAAGTCACAGGGGGTGGATGCATCTGCGCCACTGAGAACGATTTTGAGCCATGTCACCAATTGTTTCCAACCATTGATTTTTACCGTCCCGAGGACCCCAGCCTGGAAGTCTACACCTTCCTACGTGGCTAAGACCAACTGTTGTGGATTTCATTGACTGATGCCAAGTTTTTGTTTGACCGCCGCTAGCTTTTTTCCAGCCTGACCCTATATCCGCTAACATTGCTCGTCGAGGGAGGCGATGGCTTGGCATACGTAACACATGTCCTAACCATCTCAGTCTTTGTAGCTTCACGACTTCGTCGATTGATTTCCCCTGTTTACCTAGAACTCTACGCCTAACCTCCATGTTGCTCACCTTATTATGCCACTTTACACGGGAAATAGAACGCAGGCACCTATGATCAAAGACAGCTAGTCTTTTCATGTCTTCCACTCTCAGTGGCCAGGTCTCATAACCATAAAGGAGGACGGAGCGGACTGATGAGCAGTACACTCGCCCTTTGGTCGATAGTCGAACATCTCGTCTACGCCAGAGTCCAGGTAAGTGAAGGAAACGACTTTCGATTTTTCACTTTGATGGTGAATTTTGTTGGTGGTTGGCTGTCTTCATTACTTCTATCTTCTGAATATTCACCTGAAGTCCTACCATCTCTATCTCCTCCGCCAAATTGTTGGTTTTCGCCTGTCGATCTACAACGTTGTGCTGTATCACACAAAAATCATCTACGGAGTCGAGACCTAGAGCATTTGCTCGTCCAATCTTCACGTGCCTCGTAAGTTGGGGAATTAGTGGTTTTAAGTATTTGGCAACAACTTCCACACTTTACGCCACCCAGAGGAGAACTGTAATACATTAGTACACTAACGGTGGCAAGTAGCTACGATAAATGCAAAAGTGTCTAACTAAAGTAACGGCTAATACCAAACCCAGCAAAGATTATAATACTCACAAATTTAAAACAAAAAATCTAGAAAAGTAAGAGATAATAAGTACCTCTTCAAGTAATGTTTGGTTGATCTTTAAGAAAGCTTTAAGCCATTCACCAGAACGTGCTGGAAAATCAAAAGCATCTCCTGAAAATTCTTGACAATGCTGACTATGGTGATATTCATTGCTGGAAGATAAATCGTGTGATGGCTCCAGGAAATTTTCACAACTAGTAAAAGGAAATATAAGCCATTTGCTATTGCCAGTAAAGCAGGTAATTTGTGCCAAAGCTGTGGAGATACCTGTTCCAGGTTGGCCATAGAGAACAAATCGTGGAACGGAACGCTTTGATAATAAAACGGATTCAGAAGATGCACTTTCATTATTAAAACTCTCCTTTTGCAGATTTCGAATACTGATTAGATCTTTCATCATGTCCAGTGCAGGTTTCCGCAGCATTAACGAGAGATCATTAAAAGCTTTCAGTTCTTCGGTTAATTCAGCCTTCAAAAACGGTTCCATAAAGTGTGAATAGTCCTTTTCGGAATACGTGACAAATTTGCCGAGAACTGAGGTTATTTGGAATGGTTCGTCAAAATGAAACATCTTAGTCCTTGGAGTTGGAATGTTTATATGACTTGCGGAAGAGCAACTGCGTATGCTAATACAGGAGTAACCATAAAATCGCGAAATATGGGCTACTTTTCTTAGAAATAGAACCATCTATGGAAAGACAGAAAAACAAAATACACCATAGGTTTCATACGTAAAATCTCAAAAGCAATGTTGTAAATTAGTCCAGCATGAAGTCAGCCAAACTATCAAAAAGCTGAGTTGAACACATGATAGGTTCCACAGTGAAGTTTTCAAGTAAATGAGCCACTTTCTTCCTTTGTACTATACAAGTGGACTTATGCTACGGGAAAGATGTCTTCGATTATCCAACAGCCCTGATAAGAGTTATCCTAACAAACATGAGTTCAGTAAAATAAAAGACATCAAATAACTATATGAAATTTATATATTGGGTTTCCAATACCCATAAAAGTTAACACGACTTTAACTAAGCTGAAATTCTGGATCGACAGTCGGATGTGTTAGAATATATATATATATATATATAAACATTGGAAGACAGTTCACAGACTTGCGTTAGTTTGAATTAACAAAATTCAAGTCATCAACCTAAGCTAAACAGACATTTGAAATTCGTACTAAGTCAACAAAACGACCAAACTTAAAGATATGGAAATACTATCTATCGTGGATTCTCTACGTAATTCGTACCAACAGTCTGTAATAAATGATTCCGAGTATTAAGTGCACCCTAGTCAAACGAATTATATCCCCACATATGGCTAAGACTTGATGGAGTGGCGTTGAATTTCACTCTGGTCACTGAGTGAACAGATGTAGTTGAAAGAGTAATGAGTATTACTCTTTCAACTAACTATAGTTGAAAGATCCAGATCTATAGATCTGGATTTTCGAACGCCTACAAAAGTGGCTTTCTATACTGAAAAACGTTGCAGATCACTCAGTTGATTCACACATTTACTGGTTAAATTCATATATCCAAAGTGATATATATATATATATACATATAGGAATTTCGAACTCCAGCTCACGACAGCCTGGAAAGGTACAAATATCACCAAGTTTTGTTGTGTAATGAACGTTTACAGGAAATCACGTTAGAACACAAGTAAGGTATTAAAAATAGTTTGAACCTGTAAATTGCCTAACTCAAACACACAGTCATGAACAGTCAACAAACGTTATTTCATCTGCCCGCCGGTGAAAAAAGCAACTGACAGACTTGCTTGTAATTGGTCCATTTGACATTAGAGTTGCAGCAATTTTAAACACCATTGGGCTGTTTGGTGAAGTTACTATTTTCCAATATCACTTTATTCGGTTGGCATATAATTGGCAGGACATACCAATATAGCACAGAAAATAAATTTTTCAGTGTATTTACTTACTGAATTCAGTGAACACCCTCGATACCAAAGTTTAAGGACTGTCAAGCATGTTTCAAAAAAATGACAACCTAAAGCAACTTTATTTATCGCTTAATCACTACTTTCAGAGAACCTTAGGTTGGTATAAAGTACTTAGTAGTCAGATTAATCCAGACGGAAACAGTATGGACAATGCATCAAATAAGTGCATATGTTACGTCAGTGGCTGTCACGAAAATAGGAAGGCAGGCCCCAAAGAAGATCACATTAAGTAACGTAATACACGTGGGCTTCATATTTTTTATCGGAAAAAATTATGTCTCTATTGATTTTTATGACTAATCTTGATTTAGGGTAAGATAAATTGACTGACTCATCAGTACTGGGAGATCTCACCAGTGACAGTAAGTAAACACTTCCTTAAAACAATTCAGCAATGTGTTTTATTGGTATGACTTCAGCCGTCTATCCATGCTAATAATGAACTCGTGATAAAAATACTTATTAACGTCATTATTATTGTGGTGGTGGTGTGATAGTGACAGTGGTTTTCAACGGAATATTATTCTCACATATTCCTACAGTTCAACAGTGCACTGGCAGCGAAATGCTATATATATTTGAACATTATATTTGTTGTTAGATTCAGAATACTAATCCCACAGTTCAGTACTACATTAGAAGCAGAATACTCTTTGTATTTGAGCATCCCATTTCATGTCGTTTAATGCAAAAGAATTCGCAAGCTCGGTGATTGTTTGAGGAATAGAAAACTGTATAGATATAAATAGCTCTTTGATTATTTGAAAAGATAACTTGGCTGCCGTGTCTTACCTTCTGCTGTTACATTACAGTCGTGATGATCATAAAAGCACTTTTCATTCATCCTGAAGCCGTTATTAATAATGTTAACATTCGTACACAAGCTTTGAAAATTACTGCATAACCTATCATTCAATAATTTTATCATTTCACGATGCTGCCATGGTTCTACTTGATATTGACTAATTGCGTACACTGTGAAGTCCCTTGAGCTTAATGACAGTTTTTGGCCACCTGTATATATATTGTTTCTACAACATTTAGTTGTTAATGCTAGTCAGGCTATCGTCTGAAATTTTTTTATTTATTCAGACCATTCATGTACTGCCCAAGTCAATGATATTTTTCTTGAACCTTTTCAGATTCTTACAAAGAAACACATATATTGTTTGTGCAGATGGAATGTACTGACAATAATAAGGGATTAGTCATCGCTGATATCTTATTTTGTGTAATAAAGACTAATTAGTGCGTCTATTTTGCTTCTGTTGCAATGCAACTGAGCTCCGGTTGCGTTAGTAACATGTGTTACAGTGGAATTTAAGGGTAAACTATTGGGAACTGTTGCTGGATCTTGTAAACTGTTGTTGATGAAGTCAGATAGGTAGTAACGTAGTGTCTTCTGTTGCTGAGAAGCGTAGGTGCTTAATTTCGAATCAGCTATAATGTTTCATATATCTAACTGTATGGTCCTATAAGTACGTTTTCCTCATGATATATTTTCACATCTACAAGCCGGAGTTACATTTTCTTTGGAAGATTTCTTGTTTGCTTCTCGGGGGACTGCTGATGGTTATTCAATTGGGGTGTAATGCTTAAGTAGTGGATAACTCCAAAAGCTTTGTAATCCTAATACTTCCTTCGAAGTGTGGACACATTTACTTTCGTAGGCGACAACATAATCTTTCGATCAAGAAACTTCTCGGAATGTCCCATTTTACTTAGCCATTCAAACACTAAGCTATCCACTGATTAGTAGTTTGAGGAGACTAATATATTACTCTGATGAATGCTTCTACCCTTTGACTTTTGTATTAGTTTATTGTCTATATGTCGTTCTATCGACATGCTGACATTGATAAAAATGACAGCTTTCTTACGAGTTGATCACGGATTGAAATCAGTTAGAGTACCATTGGAAACCAGGGAGTACTGGACAGTTGTTTCATTCTAGTTTGGGAATCATCGGCAGTACGCACCCACTTGGGTTAGGACCCAGGACCTACCGGTTACGGGGTTAGCTCGTATACTATTCAGCCAATTAGATCTTGTATAGAATATCAATCGATTATATTTGTGAGGTTGGCATTAATATCTATTATGAATGCTGTTTAGGAATAAGAGGACCTATTTCATAAAAAAAGTGATTAAAAATGAACCCCATTCATCTGAGTGGATATCAACACCCATCTGAGGAATTTAGATTTCAAATAGTGGCATTGTGTCAAGTACTTTAGCCACGTATTTTATTATCCTTTGGTTAGTATGCAGCGCAATGATCAGAAGAAGTGAACAACTAGATGACATCGAGCGATCGGTCACGCCCTCGCCTATTCAAAATAGATGCTGTGCAGTAGCTTGGTTGTCGATTTCATGCAGACCGTATTCACTGAGAAGAATAAAAGCTTGCAAACGATGAAATACTGTGACAACGCAGAAGCAGGCTCACACACTCGATGGTTTGGCATCTAGAGAAACCAGTTTTCGCATCACGTAACCATTTGAGAAGATACGTTGGTTATTTCGCCGATTTGTAGGTCCTTCTCGAAGCATAGACTTCCCTTTACCGAAGGGGCGATTATATGGAATATCCCTTATTTGAAGTGATACCACCTGCTCAAACTTGTCTGCATTCGCGCAGTTTGATTTATTTGAGTCGGGGCTAGTTGTCCGGACAAGTGCAGTCGACATGATTTTGGTGCTTATTTGGCTCTTGCTGGATGGGTTTACATGAAAATTGTTAGCCGTTATTGTTCTCAAGCACTGACGTATTGCTGGTGCGGCAGGACGCTTAAATATATGGTTCATGCAATGATTATTCGCTATAACGAGTATGCTGGTCGTTCTTAAACAGAGCATTGGACGCTTGATTGATATGAAACTTTAAAAATAGCATTTGAAGCTGAAATAACGCCTTTAGTACTGAAATATAACTTAAAAATTCCCACTACGCCCTGAAGTCTTTTTGTTCTGAGGTAATGCAGTCAGTAATGAATCTAGCCTCAGAAGAGTGAAACAAGGCTGATTAGCAAAACTAGTGGGTTATGAGCTACTTCTGAGAATACCTAGAAAAAGCACAGTGTGCTGAGCTAGTGCCAGATAGATTCAGATTGTGTCACACTGAAAACCTGCACTGATTTCTATTTTGTGCGCACAGTCGAACCATTTTAGAAAAATTTCAAAATTCCCTTAGTATAGAGCGTTAGAGTTAGTTCAAAATTGGCTCAATTCAATTTGGCCTTACAGTAGGCATGGGAATGCATGTAGATTATTATAGACACCCTTTTCATCGGGATAATGCAGAAATTTTAAATAGGGGAAACTCCGAAAGTGCTAGGGAATTCCCAGAAGCCTGATACACAAGTGAATTAGCCATTAACAAACACATTACTTCATAACAAATACACCAACTGAGGAGGAGTAAGTCACGGGTGAGGACAAAAGTTATCGCGTTTTAAATTTACCTCACTTCTGGATTTCTCGTCTTTCACTGGCTAGAACGGTGGCAGTGAATTGGATTTGTGCTTTGCAGTAGGTACATCCTGTCCTCTACGGTTTCGTGTGGTTGTGTTATGTATGGTTTGTAAGCAAATATGATGAATATAAACGTAACATTTATTTATTCTAAAGTCGTTCCACTGTTTTTATACGGACACAATGCTGTTTTCGTTTCACAGTCTCCTGAAACTGGTTAACGTTGTGGTGCTTATCAGTGACTACGATCCCATGGGTCTCGATGCATTCCTTGAGTTGTGGTTATACGTACAATATTGTCTACTTTGATATTTCTCAGCGAAGTAGTCTAGTATTCTGTGTTTTTCTCGAATTAAATGTGACAGGCTGTGGCAGAAATGCGCTCCGTTAAAGAAGCCTTTTTTAGAAGTTCGTCGTCGGTAATCAGCGCGAGCGGAAGCAGGACATATGTTTAAAGCTGCGAACGCATTGGAAGACTTCCAAAAAGCGGCGACCTTATTAACTGCTAACAGTGACGACCTCTTTCGCTGAATAGTATATGGCTACGTTCACATGCAGAGGAGAACAAAGTATTGGTAAATGTATTCTTGTGGTATGATTCGATGGCACAGTTACTGGCATTCAATAATATTATGTATGCGTAATATTCATGATATTTTCTCCACCATTAGTGTGTTTCACATTTCGAAGGAAGTGTAAACTATGAAAACTGAATTTACCCAATACTTAAGACATAAATGGTCACAGGTGTTAATCATGTAAAGTGCTCATATCATGTTAGTGAATTTAGTCCGTGTTACTCTTAGGAATGTCGAGTCGTAATTACGTCTGTCACTTAGTCAAATTCAGTGGAAGCAGATGTAGTTGCAGTCGGTCAAAGACATCCGAAATACACTGACGAGTGTTTTACCACTTATGGCTAGGAACATTTACATAATCAGTCATAGGAACTGATTCTGCACACAACAAGTGAAGGTAAGTTCACTCATTCACTTATAACCTTGCAGATATTCTTCGCTCAGGTTTCTCATGCCGGATAACTTTGGATGTGTGAACACAGTTTTGTCTATCTTAATCGCGGAAGAATTCAAACGTGACGCAATTTAGATACTGAGCAATTTCCGTCGAATAATGTGAGATACTTCCCGAACGAAAACTTTCATCTTTGATTGTACTCAGCCTACACATGTAAATAATCTTGTTTGCGTTGCAGCGAAATAAAATTTTATACCTAATATTCATGTGTTCTATTTATTCTACATGCTGTGGGAGTACGGCATGC